TTGTTATACCAAACAAAAGGTTGTTTTCACAGCTCTTCTGTTGACCAGTGCCGGGTGCTGCTCACAAAATTTTCGGTACGTATCATCGATGTCCTCACAATTGGATTCTGCTGTGATTATTTGGCCCGGTTGCAGAAATCTGTAGTAAATGACACCAGTCGTTGACCACCATACCGAAACAACGGTCTTTTTTTCGTGGGTTTTCGCCTTTCGGAAGTGTCTGGGTGGCTCATCGGTATCCAAGCACCATCCTGAACGTCTTCTGTTGTCGTAGAGGATCCACCTTTCATCGCACTTGACGATTCAATCCAAAAAGGGTCGTTTTGGTTGCGCAAAAGCAAAAAAGAACAAACCTCGAAGCGTGACAATTTATGTCGATCGTTCAAATCGTGTGGTACCTTTTTTCGAGCTTTCGACCTTTCGAGTACATTTTAAACTATCAAAAACCGCATGGAAACTGACACCCAGTTTTTCCGCCATCCCACACACCGTTTGTGATGGGTCAGTCTCCACCAGGGTTCTCAAATCCTCGTCCTGGATTACTGTAGCTCCATCACTTTGGGGCTCATCTTTGAGGTTACAATCTCTGGAACGAAGTTTCGCAAACCAGCCTGGTTGATTTTCCGGGATGATTCGGCAGCGCATTGGTTCAATTTGAATTCTTAGAGAAAAATTGGCTGAAAGTCGCTCAACGACATTATATAGTAACAAGCTAAAAAGAGTCAAGAAATTAAAATTTGAAGAAAAAATTACTAGCATCAATGTATAGAGTACACAATTTTCTATCGGTCAGTAGATATATATTATAAGGTGTATAGATATGTTGCCTTTTATGTTTCGGGATCTGGCAACTGACAGCTCTATCGTAAAGTTGGACATTTTTGAGCTGATACGTACGTTTTGGCATACAGTAACTTTAAAGATTTATCTCGGACCAAAAATGGAATTAAATCGCGAACATTTTCGTGCGATAATTTTTTACAACTTTCGACGTGGATTAAATAAGTAAGTAAATAAGTTTATTTGACTACGTTACATTACATTTGTAGCAGGTCGTACAAAAAGTGTATATACTAATATGTATACATAAATAATTCAATGTATAAAATTTAAAATTCACAAAATGACTATTTTTGATCAAGTTTAATGTAGTAAAAGTACGAAAAAGCCTAACGTAATTTACTAACAAACAAAGAGATTGATTGTGTTGATAAGACGTGAGAAGTGGTGCTTCCAAATATTCTCTTACTTCATAAAAACTATGCTCTAATAAGATATTTTTCACTTCACGTTTGAAATGATAAAAATTGGAATTTTTGATATCAGTCTGGAGTTTGTTGTAAAGACTCAAGCCCAGAGAGTTGCGAGATGAAACAGTAAGTCTGTAACGAGGAGATTAACTCATCAACAGTGCATGAATGAACTTAAGTCAATTTTTTGGGATAGAGCCCCATCAAGGACCAGTGTTTATCCATGGTATGGTGAATTCTATCGTGGTCGTAGTTCACTCCCAGACGAATATCGTGAAGGTCATCCAAAATCAGTTTTTTGTTCGAAAACCATTGATGCTGTGCGCGAACTGATATTGCAATATCGTCATGTGACGTACCGTGAGATTGAGACAACCTTCGGCATTGGTGGGACCAGCATACATTCAATATTGCATGAACATTTGACTGTTAAAAAAATTTGTTTGCGTTGCATCCCACGCAATTTGTCAATCCCTCAAAAAAAAGGATCATGTCGATTGGTCGAAGGAAATGCTCAAAAAATACGATCGCGGTGCTTCGAAACACGTTTATGACATCGTGACAGATGGTGAATCGTGGATTTACGCGTATGCTCCCGAAAGTAAACAGCAGTCGACTGAATGGGTGTTTCAAGACGAGCCAAATCCAACAAAAGTTGTTTGCACACGAAGCACTTCCAAGCAAATGGTCGCCGTTTCTTCGGAAAAACTGGACATGTCGCAATCGTACCACTTGAACAACGCAGAACAGTCAATTCTGAGTGGTACACAACCATTTGTTCGCCAGTTGTCTTCCAAGAAATCAGGAAAACCAACCGCCGAAGACGGATCACTCTTCACCACGACAATGCGAGCTCTCACACATCGGCTCAAACACCTGCATTTTTGAGCACCCAAAACATCGATTTGATGAGTCATCCACCGTATAGTCCTGACTTGGCACCGAATGACTTCTTTTTATTCCCGCACGTAAAAAACAAACTGAGAGGTCAACGTTTGTCGACACCGGAAGAAGCGGTTGCGGCAGTCAGAATGCATGTTTTGGAGATACCTCAATCAGAGTGGCAAAAGTGCTTCGACAATTGGTTCAAACGCATGCAGAAGTGTATAGGGAATATTTTGAAAAACAATAAAGTGATTCTCGATGATTAATATTTGTTTTTGTTCTCTAATCCCGAAATATAAAAGGCAACCATACAAGTCGAACTACAAGGAGCCTACAATCAACTTGTATAAACCAAAAAAACTATTAGATTTGTAATCCTTACACAAATTCAAATTATGTATCTTCATTCATTTGGCCAAAAATAAGCTCAAACATTCATATTTGACTTTCAAAATCAATGGTGACAAACACAACAATTTGACAAGATATTCAGGCAATCTGAAATTATTGAAAATGAAAACAAATAGGTGTTGGGCAAATTCGATTTTTATACCACAAGAGCACGGTATGCGATAAACCCCTGATGCTGATAGTGTTCCTTTTTGTTTTTAATGAGCTGAAAAAAGGCAAAAAATTGAAATTTGGAAAAAATTAATGTACCTATAGAGTACAAAATTCTCTATCGATCAGTATAAACCACGACACAGTAGAATAAATATTTGAAACAGCATTTCACCAAAAACGACGGTACTGACCCAAGAGAGTACCAAGGATCAAGCCCAGGTTTGCCCGATGGTGACCTATGATTTGAACTTAACAAATAACTTGCAACCTTAAAAGTCGAAATCGGATTTTTCAATGGAAACTAATACTTTCAATGCGGAAATAAAAAGAGTGGAAACAACAACGACTCAATATGGTCTTTAGCCATTCTAAAGTTGACCTCGTAAAGTCAGTTAAGAGTCAAATATACTACAAGGGTGAAAAAAAAAATGCACCAGATGTTTACTTAGTCTCGCGACTATTCGACGGTGATATTAGATTCGACCTTGATCATGACCTTGCAAATTATTTGGAGGTCTAGGTCAATTTTTAAATGGAAACACGTATTTTTCTCTCGGAACCTTGAAGTCACAAAAGATCAAATTCAGCAAAATAAAGGCGATAAGAAGGATGAAAAAATTTATGAGTCGAGTAAATATAGTGAAGTTACTATTGAGGTGGTATTTTATTCATTGTAGAAAAACTATTCATATATCTCATATGTAAGAACCACATACGTAAGCTGGGAATTTTCGAACAATTACAATAAACTGAAAATAAATCATAATGCTAGCCTTACTGTAGGTAACAATAGACGTCCTCAACTTAATTGAATACCTGACATTTGTTTACCTGTGACAATGTGGATACGCTAAGGTCGATTTAATCATCCGCAATGCTTATGCTTATGAATTTTCAAGGATTCCAAATAATTTAGTTTCCAACCTTTGCTTGTATGGTGCAAAATTTCTGTATTGTTAAGATTCACGAACTTATGGTTGCATTTCAAAGAATGGTTAGAAAACATCCAATCATTTTCAGCTGGTCTGTCTTTTACCACACTGTTCCACATAAACACTATTACACTCCGGACACTTAAACTTATAAACTCCAGATTCCCTCATCGTGTCCACTTTATCTTCGGCATCAAAAAGGAAATTAGATAACCTGGCATGTGGTCTGAATACTACTTCCACATTGTTTTTTCTGAAAAAACCAGCAATTGTTTCTGTTCTTTTACCAAAATATGTTAGAGTTACAAATTTCTTGATTTCTGATTGTTTGATCTGGGGGTATATTGATTTGTTAGTAAATTTGAGGCTTTGAAACAGGCGAGAATATTGTCTACATATCTGTACCAAAAATGAATATATTTTTTACCCAGGTCGGAATTTACTATAGTGGTCTCCAAGCTGTTCATAAATAAGTCTGCTAAAAGTGGACTAAGGGGTGAGTCCATTGGTAAACCTGAATCCTGTTTATGAAATTTGTTGTAGAACTGTGAGTAACTTTGATTCAGGCATGCATCGAAAGCTGCCGAAATTTCATAAGAAATTATATGGTCTACTTTGGCTTGATCTAATATATCTAAAATGAGAGGTTTACATTCGTTGTCGGTATGTTGAAGAACATATTTCTTACATCGAATGAAACTAAAATTAAATTATGTGGCGTGGTTTGATTAGGTACTTATTTTTTCCACTAAAGTCAGCTAATTTTCAATGCTGTGACGGGGGACTTTTTGAACAACTTGTTAAGACGTATTCCCAGTTCTCTTACCGGGGTGTTTATATACGAAACTATCGGTCTTATGGGGTTATCTTCTTGAACCCCTCTTGCCCTAAACTATATGGCTTAATTAAAACACATAAAGAAGATAACCTCGAAGCTAATCTATGTTACTCACCAGTTTTTAAATTAGCGTGTCCACATTGTCACAGGTAAACAAATTTCAGGTACTCAATTAGGATGAGGACCTCTTTTATTACCTACAGTAGATATGTGAGGGCTAACATGATTTATTTCCAAGTTATTATAATTGTTTGAAAATGTCCTTATAGGACGAAACTGCAGTAACGTTAGTTACAAATAAAAGTGGTAAAACACAAAGTTTTATTTCTCATTTTTCATGATGATCTTTTTCCACGTACCATCAATTTACATATTTATTCAGTTCTTCAAAATGCGTAGATTCTCTGTCTGTCACATTTTTTATTCATTTGAATTTATAGTGACCGAGAATAGTACAAACCTTTCCAAATAAATATCTTCTAAATTTACTATATTTGGTCCCCATTTTTAAACTAACTTTCAATGTTGCAGTATGGACCACGGTACGATTGGGACGAAAAAGTACAAGGTACAATTTTGGGAGGATATTTCTACGGATATGTGATATTTTCCTTGCCAGCCGGTTTTCTCTCGGAATATTTCGGACCGTTCCTAATCATATTTTGGGCACACGTCGTGGCTGCAATTTTCAACACTCTGACGATATACGCGGCATGGATACATTGGTCATTACTGGTGATATGCAGATTCGTTCTAGGATGTTGTGGGGTGAGTCCCAAATTCTCAGATTGTTCATACACGTAGTTTNTGATAAATAATGGTTTGTTTGATTATATTTGAATTTAGTAGTAATTATCATTGCTTTTGTTTTTTTAACGTTAAGTTTCATTTTGTTGGTTATCAGATATTGTTCTTCTTTCTATAGAACTTCATTCATTCTGCCAACAGTTTCTTCTAAATTTACTCCAGTAGAGGCCAATAATGTATCTTCTGCAAATAAGTTGTTGAACTCACAGTCTGTATATAATTGAGTATCATTCAGATACAGAATGAAAATGTTGAGAAAGTGAAGAGAATTGTCATGGAGTGTGGCAGCGAAGTTCGTTCCAAAATTGCTGGATTTTAACAAAAAAAATTGTTGAATAACGTCAACGTCGATTAAGATTTGCTTAAAAGGGACATAGCTGGTGACGAATCATGGGTATATGGTTATGACATCGAAACCAAAGTCCAATCGTCCCAATGGAAACAACACCATAATCACCACCGATTGAAGAGACTCATTAAAGAACAGGATTCGTGCTATCGATATATTTTCACCTTGGAACTTGCCATTTGAAATGCTGGCTTCGACAACATTTTTCGTTAATTTTTTTAACGGCTAATCGCGTACAGCCGTGGTTGATTAAAATAACGGGGCGATCCTACTTTCCGTTGTGAATTATGCGGTGGCAAGTCTGGCAAACCCAATGAGTTTGAAAACACTGGATAAATGATTATGGTAGCGAACTGTGTAGGGAGTGACATAATCCTCATCGTGTGTGAGAGACAGGATACCAGTTCATTCTCATCCCTACTTCGTGGTGTTCACTGAGCGAGAAATGACACCGGTCGGAGCTTGGTGGGAATAACTGATCTATAAGATCTGTGATCTAAAATGGCTAATAATTTAGTGCAGGTATTTGTCCTCTCCTTTCATCCGGATATCTCTTTAAATTTGTCTGTACTTACATCAGGTGTGTTGTGTTGGTGCTTTTCAAGGTTCATTGTTTCTAGGAATGTGTATTGTAGTGTGTAGTATATTGAATGTTAAGTCTTGTTGTGTATTGATTTGTATTTGTTCCTCAATAAGTGAATTATGACTTTTGAATTTATGGATGTTTAGGTTTTGCCAGATGTCCATAAGGTTTCCTTCATTGGCTTCTTTTATGACTTTGATATTTTCTGGTGGGGAAAAGTTATGTTTGTTTTATATGACGTATGTTGCGAGGTTTGGTTTATATGTTATTGGGTATGCTTTTTTGTGCTCGTCGTACCTTTGGATCAGCTTTTTCTTGGTTTGGCCGATATAGAATTTGTTGCATTCTGATCATTGTAGGGTTTTGTCTTCTTCTTGTAAGTGATGTTGATGTAAAAGGGTTTGAAGATATTTGTTACTTTTTTGGTTTGATGACCTATTTATGTGAATGCAGTCCATCGTTGTGTTGTTTTATCTGTTGGAGTAATTTGATCTTTATTCTGTATCACCATCAGGTCTTACTTCAGGAACGTTACTTCTTGCATATTCAATTTCACTTGGTCGGTACAACTAACCGATAGACTGGTTTCGGGGTATTGCCCCATCATCACTACTGGACAGGTTATTTCAGAAGGAGTGAACCGTCCGAGTATATATAGCATGTTATTATTAATATTGCAAGCAATGTTTTGTAGATTATTCAGTTGCTACGTTTCATAATCATTTCTAGTAACTATGCATTCAGTTATTATCTATCAAATATAGGTTGTGAGTTTATCCATTTTCTCTTAATTAATTTATTTCGATGAGAATGAACGTATGTATTACTTGCAATTATATATCACTCATTATCTTTCTATTATTTTCCACCTGCACAAATGGAATAATTTGGGTTCCCCTTTTCTTCTGGTATAATATATGTAGTTGTCAACATTTGCACAATTTATATGTTAAAATTCTTTTCGCGATTGTACTTCCTGATAAAAATAGGTAGTGGACAATTATCATCTCTAACGTTCGCGCATCTAGGAGGCATAACTAGATTTGCCAAGCTGTACTAGATCTGTACTAATAGCCAATTACTATATTTTAGAAATTTCATTTTCATAGGGCCTTGTTTATCCAGCGCTCCAATGCTTGATAGCCCATTGGGCTCCTCCCGATGAAAAAGGAAAGTTCGTCGGCGCTCTGATGGGCAATGTACTAGGCACTTGTATCACGTGGCCAATGGTAGGGGCCATCACAACCCACTTCGGATGGGATTGGGGATTTTACGCAGTGTCTATCAAGAACGTCATTTTTTGTGTTCTGTTTTATTTCATCTGCTCAGACTCTCCTACGACAAATAGATGGATCACAGAAGAAGAAAGAGATTACATAAAAAAAGCACAAGGTATTCAGGTGACGAAAAAGAAGGTGAGTCTATCGAAACTGGATTATTGAATCACCATAACACCCATAGTCCACGTATTATAGACTAGCGACCCGCCTCGGCTCCGCACGAGTACAATGCTGATACTAAATATACATATAAACGCGTGCGATCGCTACGGTGCCGGCCCCCCGGCAGGTACCGCCGCAACCGCTATGTCGCTGCATTTTCAATCTGTAATACCTTCAAAAATATTAATTTCAATTACATGCTGTAAAGGACCTTGTCGATCTATATTGAATTCACAATGTATTTAAAGTACTCAATTGGATACGGATTAATGTTGTATTGCTTGAAATTGCTTCGTAAATAAACCATTATTTCTCGTCGAAAGTAAAGGATAAATAATGGTTATTATGTGTTATCCCTAAGAAATAGAGATATAATATGGCGGACTTTTTTGTAGACCTTTTCAAGGTGTACAAAACCGTAGTACATTATTTTGATCTATCTCGTTGACGTTTACGTTCAATCTTAGCTCTTATGATGATGATGTACATAGTACATCAAAAAGAGATAGATGTACAGAGTGGGCCAAATTGGACACTTTCGAAGGAAACTCCTGTTTTTAAACTAGATAGATTAAAACTGATGGCTGTGTCAGGGGATCAAATTTTATGACAAACCTAAAAGTCAAAACCGCATATCGATTTCTATCATCGTTTCTGAATTACAGCATGTTTTTCGCAGATGTGCATTTTCGAAAAGTTGCTGTAACTGTTCCTGTCCAAAATTTTTTGTTTCTATGAAAACATTTCAGCACTATTTTACGTGGAATTCAATGGTGTAAAAACGTATTTGTTCAAATGAGATATCAATAGTTATTGATGGAAAACATTTTTTTTCAATGAGACACCCTGTATTACGTTTCCAAAAATGTAGCACACTTTGAAATACAGAGTTTTCAGATTTTTTCACGTAGACTTTGAAACGCACACTTTGATCAAATAGGCTTTGTGGCGATAAAACAGAATGCAAATCTTTACTGGTAGCTGTCAAATTTTGATTTAAGCAGTAAATATGCTTATATTAGAAGTTTTTATTCAATTTTCAAATACGTTCGCAATGAAGTATCAGATTTATGAAAAATGGAGTATGATAGTGTGTTTTATACAAACCGGGGAAAATGCAGAAGCAGCAAGCAGTTTGTATCACGAGGGGTATCCAGAGAGAAAACAACCTTTTAGAGACATTTAAGTAACATAGCAACACAACCAAATTGATGGTGGTCGAAAGAATAAAAGGCCAAAATTATATGAATCAAATAAGGATAAGGAGTTGGAAGAAATAGTCGTTTCAGGAGCTGTTGAAAATAATCCCAAAACGTTAACGGGAAGTTTGAAAATGTCAACAGGCCTACCAAGAAATAACGTTAGAAGGATTTTGAAAAAACACAAATTCAAGCCATACAGGACCAGAAGAGTTCATCAACTCAGACCAGGAGATTTTGAACGCCGCATGGCTTTTTGCCAGTGGTTCCTAGAAAGTTGTTACCAAGTGCTTGTTTTTTCGTTGAATTGTTTTTGGACAGATGAAGTTTATGTGAGCAGTCGCGGCATTTTCAACTACTACAATTCTTATACTTGGGCACAACGAAATCCTCAGCAGGGAAGTCAATGAAGATATGGATTCAATGTGTGGCAGGTGTTTTCAGCGGTAAAATTATCGGCCTCTTCATTTATAATGTCACTCTTACATCTCAGAGGTATTTAGAAATTTCAAGGCAGAATATTGAACCCCTTGTTGATGAATTACCACCAGTGGCACTTTGAAAAATATATATTTCCAACAAGACGGGGCTTCGCCTCACAACACTGCAATTGTCACCAAATTTTGGTAATAACTGAAGGACCCAACCGTTGGCCGGCCAGGTCACCGCACTTAACGCCTATGGACTTTTACCACTGGAAAAGGTTGAAGGATCTTATTTTTGAATTGCTTACAAATTTAAGATACGAATTGGAAGTGACAGTGATGCAAAGTTTTGCTTCTCTCACTCCTATTGAACTAATTCATTCGGCAAAAAACGTTCAGAAAAGGTATCGCCTGTGTGTAGGAGAAGCTGGTAGACATTTCGAACACCTTCTCTGAAGAAATATATTTCATTGTTTGTTCTTTATCATTATTATTATTATTGTTGAAGTTTCATTTATTAGTAGTGAATATAGTATAAATTGTTATCAGTTTTATTGAAACTATGCGTTTTAATTATTGCTGTGAAAAGCTTTCTCAACAGTTGATAGCTACCACTCAACAATTTATTTCTGTTTTATAGCCGCGTCGTCCAAAGCCTACTTGATCAAAATGTGCATTTCAAAGTCTACAAGAAAAAACCTAGAAGATGACTCTAGCAAACATCAAATGTGCTACATTTTTTGAAAAGTAATTTTGAACTCTATTGAAAAATGCAGGAATATACAGGATGACTCATTAAAAAATGACTATTGATATCTCATGTCAAAAAATAAGTCCATTACACCATTCAATTCTGCGTAAAAAGTGCTTTGGAAATGTTATCATAGAAACAAGACATTTTTGACCGGAAAAAAGTTACAGCAACTTTTTGAAAATACACATTTTTCAAAAACTCAGAAACGATTATAGATATCGATATGTGGTTTTCGCCATTAAGTTTTTCATAAAATTTGACCCCCAGACACAACCATCAACTTTCATCTATCTAGTTTGAAAATAGGAGTTTCCCTTTGAAACTATCCAATTTGACCCACTCTGTACAAACCTGAGTCGTAGACAATTTCTTTGATTTTCAGAACGCTTGAAAGTTTACATTGTTAACATGTTTATTGAAGTTTCCACGGTTTCAATTCTTTTGTACCAAACAAATAGTTGTTTTCATAAATCTCTTGTTGACTGCTGATATAATTTTCGGTACATTTCATCGATGTCCTCACAATGGGGAATGTTCCTCAATTTGGGCTATTGATGTTTCAAATGTTGGGTTTTAATTTTTAAAGGGATTTGTTTCTAATTCACATATTGGCAACAGCGCCTATATCAAGTTGAAATAATTTATATATAAATCAACAATTAAGGCAAAATATAAATTATAGTTCAATACCACCTCCACAAGCCACATAAACAACAGTTGTTTTGTTATTTATTTATATAGAGGAAGATAGGTTAGGTGCACAAAATGTCATATGTCACAGAATGTCTTAGAAGTCGGAATATAAGTAAACAGAACAGCACGCCTCTGAAATATGTCATCATTGTTTGTCTCATACAGGTAGCAGATTCATTGTCCTTTATCAGATATAACCGATGTTGCCAAATGGTGAAATAGAAACGAATCCCTTTAAATGTTGAATGCATTATTTTATTACTGTTTTTTAAGTATTTAAATACTTTTTTAAAGAAAAAGATTGAAATGATAGGTTTAAAATGCGTTGTTTTAGAGCTCTTTTATGAAAACTACTTGATTTGCGTCAGGAGGAACATTCCCCATTGGATTCTGCTGTGATCATTTGGCCCTGATGCAGAAAGCTGTAGTGAATGACACCAAACTCTTACTACCATACAGAAACGACAGTCTTTTTTGGTGAGTTTTCGCCTTTCAGAAGTGTCTGGGTGACTCATCGGTGTCCGACCACTATCCTGAACGTCTCCTGTGGTCGTAGAGAATCCACCTTTCATCGTACTTGACGATTCACTTAAAAAAAAGGATCGTTTTGGTTGCGCAAAAGCAAAGAAGAATAGGTTTGTTCTGGTTCTAACATCCGAAACTGTTTGGAATCAATGCAAGACATGATGCGTACAAGCAAACAATCTCAAACAGTTCGAAATAGTATCGGACACTTGTCTAAACCAAAACGATTTTGAGGAAACAACTGTGCCACCTATCGTATATATGAAAAGATGAAGCCAAGAAAATACTATTAATCATGTCCATTTTGTTATGTCCTTATCCTTAAAGTCAGCACAAATGTTGTCTAACCTCAATCATCAATTATTCAAATCAAATAAATGAAAAAACATCCTAGCAAATAGCCCAAACAATTTTTCAGATGAATGCGCATGAGCAACGGGAACCGTTCTCAACAGTTCAGCCTCGAGAGCAAGAACGATTCGGGACGGTTCAAAACAGTTTAGGATCACTTCGCAGTTGAAACCAGAACAGAGGATTAATCAGTCCGAAATTATCCTCAATAAACCAGAATGCTCTATATCAACTGTGCATGATCCTGACATCCTAGAACCTGAATTTCGTAGAACAAGAACAAAACTAATAGTTCGGGGTCTATTCTTCTTTGCAATATTCACCAGAATCCTCAAATCCTCGTCTTGGATTACTGTAGATCGATCACTTCGGGGCTCATCTTTGAGGCTGCAATCTCTGGAACGAAGTTTCGCAAATCAGCCTGGTTGATTTTCCGGGATGTTTCGGCAGCGCATTGTTTCAATTTGAATTCGTAGAGAAAAATTGGCTGAAAGTCACTCAACGACATTATATAGTAATAAGCTAAAAAGAGTCAAAAAATAACAGCATCAATGTATAAAGTACAAAGTTCTCTTCTCTGTCGACACCGTAGAATAAATATTTATTGTGATATGGAGCTACAAAAATACATGACATTGTTCCCTTTCCTGCGTTATCTGCTATACATCCCTTTATTCCATTTTTCGGACGATTCCTTTTTGAAGGATTTTCCGTGTGTGTTCCCGGATGTAATTTTTCAGTATCCTTTGTTCCTCATCATGTTTTCTATCCTCTGTTTCCACAGATTTTGGTAACTCGATTGTCTTTGGGTCAAAACTAGCTAGCCTCTTCACAAATTTGACCCTGACCAACCGTCACTTGTTATTATCATTATTAACACCATTTCGATAATTAAACAAACTCTTCATCGAGTCAGCAATCGTATCAAGTATGACGTCAGCATTTTTCTTCGAAACGAGAAACAACATCGTCATGGTCACTTCGTCGAGTTCTTCAATTCCACAATAATAACAAAGAAGGTACAGACTTGAATATGTCAGTGATGTCATGCGAATTTTTATACTTGTTATAAAAATAATGCATCAATAATGTGATGGCTGACCTGTAGGAAATGAACAAGGAGACTGTGTTTGTCAGTTACATACTCTTTTGTTCATAATGGATATATCATAAAGTGGTATAGTCGAAGTAAAGGGTATTGTGCACACTCAAGTNAATGACACATAAGCTATCGGAAATAATTTTTAAATGGTAAACAAATAATAAGACAAAAAGTTACATTGGAAATAAATTTTAGGGGTTGCGTTTTCCACTCCTTTCAACCATAGGATAAACCAAATAAATAACTGGCTAAGTGTCTTTTTGGTAGTACAAAACGTCAAGTTAAATTCAATATTGTAACTTTTTCAGTACTTGTGAAAAAAATTGTTAAATTTTATGTACCCCCTTCAAGGGGCTGTATCTTAACAAGGGATGCTCCAATGAAGTTTCTTTATATGAAAAATCCTATCTTTTTTTCGATGAGGAATCACCTCCTCAAATGTTTTACACTTATTTAGTTACACCCTGTATACCTACGATGTACCGCACTTTTTGAAATGCCTACTAAGTCTGCTAGCTCGCGCACTTTCCGTCGACAATCACTCAGTACCGCTTTGTGGATTTTCTTCACCGTTTCTGGAATCGTCACCTCATTTGGTCGACCACAGCGTTGCTCGTCTTGGCAGCTCGTACGGCCTCGTTTAAACTCCGCTACTCAATATTTCACTATTTTAAACGAATGAGCAGACTCACCCAGAGTAGAATCCATAACGATGACCCATTTTCACAATTCCATAAAAACGTTCACTATTGAGGGCTGCCAAACAAATACTAAATAACGCGGCGTCTTTAATATTGAAACATGCTTTATAGATTGTGTACTTTCTAATACAAAGATATTTTTGAAACAATTACCGCCATCTCTAGGTCAAGCCGGGTACTTCTTGGACCACCCTGGTACATCTGGGACCACCCTGGTACATCATGGTATATTGATGGTATATTGATGTCAAAACTAAATTATTTTGGCATCAGAGGGAATAACCTTAATGGGTTTCCACATCATAAAAGTGATACACAACAATAAGTTTGCAAATAAAATCAAAATAGTCTCATAGGAAAAAATTTTGAAAATTCAGAGGGCAGCACAGATCTAGTCTTGGTCCACTGCTAATTTATACATTAACCCATTAAAAAAATTCACCTCTGATGATACAACAATTTATACACTCCTCGGAAAATTTCGGCATATTTCATGATGATATATAATATAGGGTGATTTTTTGAGAGGTATAGAATTTGATTTTGAAAACAACACAAAAATTGTTGAAATCTTTATTGAAATCGATAGAACAATCAATATAATTTAATGTTCGAAGATGATTTCATNATTTGATTTTGAAAAGAACACAAAAATTGTTGAAATCTTTATTGAAATCGATAGAACGATCAATATAATTTAATGTTTGAAGATGATTTCTTGCAAATGTTGTCCGCGACTCCGCTTTGGATGGCCCATGCGCAAGGTCCAATTTTGGGACACTCCCTCTAACATATCGACCGGTATTTAACGTAAAAATGTTTCAATATTGGCTTCCAGAGTGTCAGTAGTTGCTGGTTTATCCCTGTAGACATGATCCTTAACATGACCCTACGAGAAATAATCCAAAGGCGTTAAATCACACGATCTAGGCGGCCAATTGACGGGCCCCAAACGTGAGATGAACTGTTCACCGAAGGCGCTCTTAATTGGGCCATTGTTTCGCGTGCCGTGTGGCATTTGGCACCGTCTTGTTGAAACCACATGTCAGGCACGATCAATTCTTCCATTTTGGGCAACAATAGTCGTCAATCATCACACTCGCCCGCCATTCACAGTAACGTTCCGGCCATTGTCGTCTTTGAAGAAGTACGGCTCGATGATGCCACCGACCCATAATTCACACCGAACAGTGACTTTTTCAGGATGCATCGGTAGCGCTTACAATGCTCGTGGCTGGTCTTCACTCCAGATGTGGCAATTTTGCTTGTTAACTTATCCATTCAACCAGAAATGAGCCTCGTCGCTGAACACAATTTTTCGATAAAAATGTGGATATTCCTCCAACTTTGCCAGCGCCCATTCACCAAATGTAAGACGTTGTGGGAGGTCGTGTGGCTTCAATTCTTGCACCAGCTGTATTTTATAAGGTTTTACACCCAAATCCTTTCGCAAAATATTCCACGTAGTGGAAGTACAGAGGCCCAATTGCTGCGAACGGCGGCGAATCGATATTTCACGGTCATCACGAACACTGGCGGATACAGCCGCAATATTTTCTTCGGTCCTCACTCTACGTATACGTGTTGGTGGTTTAATGTCCAATAATGTAAACTGGGTTCGAAATTTAGTCACAAGCTTTCGAATAGCTCTTTCAGTAGGCCGACGAAACTGCCCATAAATTGAAGGAAGTACTCGATGCACTTTCTTCACTGAGCATGAATTTTGATAATAAAATTCAATAAATTGCAAGCGTGGTTCATTCGTAAGTCGATTCATGGTTGAATTATAGACCAAACTGGACAAGTTTGACAATGACACATAAGATACGATTCACGCGTGATCTCTCAAAAACACTGTTGCCAAAAAGATACCAGCAAAAAAATTACTCATTATATCTCTATCATACCTTTCGATTTTCTTTTTCAGCTCACATAATACCCGGCATCCTGTTGATTGGCATCAGTTTCGTAGGTTGCAATTGGATACCGGTTATGGTGCTACTCACATTCAGCTTGGGCCTGAACGGTGCTTGCGTTCACACAAATTTACAAAACCCTCAAGATTTGGCTCCGAACTTTGCCGGTACCATCTATGGTATAAACAGTTTCATTGGTGGATCGACTGGGTTCATAGTGCCGGCTGTTACAGGGGCACTAATCCATAACTACGTAAGTGGCATATTGCTTTGAAAAAACCGAACATATTTAATATTTATTCTCTTGGGATTCAGACGGGAGTCCTCTCCATCCTATTACTCCGTATAGTCAGGTGCATACTTTGCTTGCTAACAATCCGTAAATAATTTTCACCTCAATTTCTCGCACCATAAAAACAGCCGAATGTTCAATTTGCTTGTCACAATTGGTGTCTGTATTTGAATTTTTGCAGAGCGGTATAAAAGAATGGGGAACTGCCTTCCAAATTGGTGGATCTGTTTACATCGTGATGGGAACGATTTGGATAATATTTGGATCAGTGAAAATACAGGAGTGGAATCAGAAAGGAGATCCAAAGGAGGAATCTGAAACCGCTGGATAGAATGGTGTTTACTTTTAATGTCGAAATTATACCAATATGTAGTGAGATTAATAGTAACATGTTTCAATAAATGTATGTTTACAATTCCAAAAGTAATAACCACATAGTTTTTTAAAAATTTTGGTAAACTCAGGAGATTTTTGGCGAACTCTTTTTCTGATGTACAATGTTTTTTGGCCAATTAATTAACAGAAGTTTTGTAGCCGGAAACAATATCCCTGTTGTTAGTTTTTTGTTGATTACAAAATGAAAAATAATTTTATTTTCACTGTCAGAAACTAGAATGGAGTATCTGAAGAACTATCTCAGATTGAAGAATATTACTGGAGTTTTTTCCCAACATCAGACAATTATTTCAAAACCTTGACACGTGTTTCGATCACCAAATGATCATCTTCATCTTGGTGATCGAAACACGTGTCGAGGTGTTAAAATAACAGTTGCAGGACATAGGCATCACTGCCGGCCGCTGTTTGTCGAGTATGGAATAATGTATGTACCTTCCCTATACATATACCACTCACTACTACATATACCACTCACTACATAAAAACAAAAATGCCTACTCAACTAATGCGGAGTTCCATAACTACAATACCAGAAATAAAAATCTGCTAAGAGAACCAAGACATCGTTTGAGCAAGTCAGCCAGAAACTCTGTTGATATTAGGATATATAACAAATTACCTGACGAAATTAAAAACCTAAATTATAATCAATACAAAGCAGAAGTCAAGAAAATATGCTCCCACCACTATTTCTACACAGTTGACGAATTTATGGCCTGCATTATATAAAGTTTTGTCCTATTGTCTGTCACACACTTATGATACATATTCTGCACATATGATACAGATCTGCCTCCCATATTTCGCTAATAAACTCAGCTAATAATTTAGTTGTCTGATTGCCTGCTTGGCAAATTTTATCTATACTTATAATGTTTTATGCCTATGTGATTTTTTGTCTTTAAGTGCATACTGTGTTCTACTATTTTATACATACAAATTGTCCATACCTCATGACCTGCTACAAATATAATTTTTTATAAAACGTAGTCAATAAACAACTATCTATCTATCAATAGGTGGTTCCACTTATGTTTCGCTTGCGTTTACGCAGTTATGTTTATTTGGTACTTTTCTTGGTTATTTACATTTTGTCTTCAATCATATATGTTTGTTTTTGTTATTAATTTGACCAATTGAGAAATGGCTCCCTTTGGAATTACCTCATTATATATGAATATTTCTTGTACACTCTGTATGAATTATTTTGTTGGGAATAAATGAAAGTTCGTAAAATAAAGTTTTCACATTGAATTATACCTAGGTTACAAAAGTTATTATAGTTAAATCATATGGTAGATAGCATTCAATGTTATCTCGTCAATTTGGGCAGATCAGTACCTGACTTTAGTCGCTAGTCACTAAACAATTACATGAACTTCGACACTTCTACTCCAAAGCGAATGTGTTCCTTTTAAAGACTTATCACTTTTCAAGTGGTTCACCCATTAAATATAACTTGTATAAACTTTTATTTGTTTTATGGATGAGTACATTTTTAACGATTATTATTATCAGTGTTTTGTGTTTTGTCAAGGTTCAGTTTGCTGACACAGTGTAAATATCTACAATGGGCGAAGTGGACGGAAACACTGTTATAGCTCAAGCTTTAAAGAAACAAGTAAGTATTTTTTGAAAGGATTTGCAACTACACCTACTTACGATAATTAACAATTTTCAATTCTCAGTTATTCACACATGGTTAACCCTATTAAGATTGAGTAACCCAGATGAACATCTTATTCCATTCATTCTATAAGGGCTTGCGCACATTGAATGTCAGTCGGAATTGTGTTAGTTAGTAGTCCAAAGAAATTAGGCAAAAGCACATCTCTACTGTCGACTGTCAGTGCAAAAGTCAAAAGTGAAAATTAAATACTTCACAGGAGCAGTGCCGGCTTTAGGATTTGGCTCAGGAGCGCACAGAGTTGGTTTTTCTAACTCAAGGTGCTAGCAAAAAACAGCACATGAGGAACTCTGTTTAAAACTGTATTTTTCCACGAATTTCACTATTTGCGATTAGGGAAACGATGTCTACGTAGTCTGTGTCAGTCATCTAACTAAATACCTAAACTAGGGACTATTAGTCCGAAATATGCACTGTTCCCGAATACCGGAACTGCAACAATATTCTTGACGCGAGTTTCACCTATCAAAATGGCATCTTCAGGAGATGAAGTAGTCTATTTCATTGGTTGGTTTTCATAAAACTTTGTACTTTTCTGTGACCTGCACTGCATACATCAGTTTCTATATTTTTTAAAAGGAAGTCAAAAAATGTAAATTTCATACAGGAGGAAAACATTTTTGAGAAGTTAGCAATACATATTTTTTCTGTAAGGTGCATACTTTCTGGCGGCACCAAATATCTCACGAAAATTATCATTATTTTTATGAAGAATTCTAAAAATACCAAAAGTACCTTCTGTTCTACCATAATACGTAGGTACTAATAAGGTACGATTTATAACTGTGTCTGAATATTTAATGAGTCGCCACGCGAAAAACTATTAGTGAGAAAGTTATCGAGGTGCTTGAAAAGATGAGTATGGTGGGTGAGGCAGACCTCCAACGCTCACTTCATTTAATTTCCGGACGGTGATTTGGGAATCGTGCGGACGGGCTGTGTCGTGGAGCAGTATTGAACCTCTTCTTTTGATCAGTGGTGGCCGCTGCTGACGAAATTTTTGTGGTACATTTCGTCGATTTCCCCTGGATAGGACTCTGCTTTGATGGTTTGGCCCGGTTGCCGAAAGTTATAGTGAATCACATTAGCCGCTACCCACCATACAGTAACCATGGTCTTGTTTTTGGTGTATTTTGCCTTTCAGAAGGGCGTGGGTGGCTCATCGGTGTCCAAACACTGTCCTGAACGTCACTGTTTAAGAACTCTTTCATTTGGAGAATTGCGCTCGAGTGGAATAAAAAAAATTTGGAAAAAAAGAGCAGCATCGATGTATAGAGTACAAAATTTCTATCGATCAATATACAGGGTGGGGCACCGAAAACGAAACAGATCGAATATCTTCAAAACACATGTGTTCTGAAAAAAATGCAAAAACACGTCGATTTGTAATCCTATTATAACCTCAACTGTCATATACCTCTTCCCCCACCCCTCGATGACTATCACTCAAACAATTTGAATAGGGAAAGTAGTAAGTGTGACACATCGTTAAAAAGGTAATTTCATAAGAAATTCAGCCATTTCAATTTTAGCTACCTAACTTTCGATTTTGGTACCTTCTTACAGAAAAAAAAAACTGTTCCGTATTCCAAATTATGATACTTCATTCGCAGGCTAAATTAGGTGACAATGCATTATGGAGTTTTTCTAGGGAAAAAAACAATATGGCGGCTTCACAATGGCGGACAAGATTTGCAATTATAGTCCGATTTGCTTCAAAATTGATAAGTGGTGGTTTTCAGGTTCGGAAATTATGAATTGTTTTTTAATGCACAAAATCAAGATGGTGGCTCCAAAATGGCGGACGAAATTTGTAATTATGGCACATTCATTATTTTTGAAATAATACTCAATTATTTCTACCCTATCCTGAATAGAATGAAGCCTTTTTTATTTCACTCGTTAATGTACCTGACATACTACTGTCAAGAAACTGACATAAATGAACACTGAAACAAAAGGTTTTTCATTATATCAATACATAGGCGTAGTAAGTCAATTGTTATTTCAAAGGTACGAATGTCATCAAATAACTTCAGAAATGCTCTAAAACGTCAGACGGCGTTTCGAGAATAACTTATACTCATTTATGGCAGTTCATAGCGAACACTTTGAGCATCTACTGTGAATTAAAGTAGTTTGCGATGATTGGATTATGTTATTTTTTCAATGGTTGTTCTTTTTTCATGAATTATTCACATTACCTTTCAAATAAAATGTGAATTGAAAAACGAAACAGTTGTTTTTCCTGCAATAGAGCGCCAAAATGAAAAGTTAAGTAGCGAACCCTCACATGTCTGAATTCCTTATGGAATTACGTTGTCAATGCTGTGTCATCCTTAGTACTTTACCTAATCAAATTGTATGAGGGGTGGGAAGAGAAGTATGACAGTTGAGGTAACGATAAGATTTGTTCCCCTTGGATTTAAAATTGACGTGTTTTTGCATTATGTTCACAACACATGTGTTTCGAATAATTCGTTTTCGGTGTCGGGTTAATCTTGATTTTTTGCATTGAAAAACAATTCATAATTTCCGACCCTTGTCATCCACCACTCATCAATTTTGAATCAAGTCGGAACATAATTGGAAATCTTGTCCGCCATTGTGAAGCCGCCATCTTGTTTTTTTTTCCTAGAAAAACTTCATAATGCATTGTCACCTAATTTATGTCAAATTAGCTTGCAAATGAAGTATCATAATTTGGAATACGGAACGGTTTTTTTCCGCAGGAAGACGCCAAAATCGAAAATTAGGTAATTGAAATTGAATTCCTTATAAAATTACTTTTTTAACGATGTGTCACACTTACTACTTTCCTTATTCAAATTGTTTGGGTGCTGGTCACCGAGGGGTGGGGGAATAGATATTACAGTTGAGGTTATGACAGAAAGATGTCCCCCTTGGATTAAAAATCGACGTGTTTTTGCATTTTTTTCAGGACACATGTGTTTTGAAGATATTCGATCTGTTTCGTTTTCGGTGCTCCACCCTGTATATCACGACACAGTAGAATAAATATTTATTGAGATATAATGCTACAAAAACGGACAAAACTTTTGAACCAACCTAGTATCAACTCGAATGAAAATTGTCCTCTTACTGTAGAAATTATACAATTTATTGTTTGAATCTCAACTGATACCATTGGAAAATATTTATCTGAATACACTTCAATTTCTAATTCTGAATATTCGAACATGAGACTTACTTATCAAGGAGGATTAATAGATATCGTTGGAAAAAATATATTCAGAATGTTTTCAATCATAAATAACTCTGTGATATTTTGTGACATTCTTTTTTTTGAAGGACTTAATACTTCTTATGGAATATAACCTCCCACAATAAAAATAAACAAAGCTGAATCAATAAAGAATCTGCTGAAGTGTAATGAAGGGCAAACTGAAAATTTTACTCTGAAAAGTTTCTGCGTAATGTAAACCACCGAAGAGTCCAATTAGTCAGTTACTTGTATTCATAAATTTTGCTTACAAATTGAAAAAATTCAGTATTCATACTTAGCTTTTTTTTTAGTGGTCTTATCTGAAAAGATAAGATGAATTGGAAATAGAAATGATGTTAGAACTTCGTACAAAACAAAAAATACATTGAGATCTATACTCACACATACAAAACCTAACAACACAGAAGAAGATACAAAAAATTACATTTATGATATACCTGAATGAACCTCACTCTGAGAGACGTAAACCTAAAATATAAATCCAGCGTATTTTCTCATATCTGAAGAGAAGTGTATTTCGACCAGCTCCGTAGAAATGGATTGTACTTAGGTACTGGTCTTGAAGAAATATATGAATAGTGGCGAAACAGTTACAGACTGATATCAGAGAACACCTTGTACTACATTCAATGTTTCAAGGATTCGATCAACAACATTGACACAATTCACATTTCAAAACTCCTGTCGAAGATGTTGAGAAATATAAACAACGAATTGCTACCTGCGGCCTTGCCCGCGTTGACATTGGTTTGTCACATTAAGTTTCGTAACAGACCATTTTAAACAAATATCTACATTTTCTTAGTAACCCAAAACTTCAGGTTTCCAACTTCAAAACTGACGAAATCCAAAACAATCTTTGAACCCCTCTTTTTCCCCCTTAGGGGTAGAAATTCGTTATTCCCTTTCTTGATGCTTATTTACACTATACAAAGAACCTACCTGCATATTTCAAGAATCTAAGTTCAGTAGCTTCGGCTCTTCGTTAATATAAGAGTGTCAATCAATTTTCAAATTTTTCATATTGTGGAAGGTAAGAATACCCCAAGAAAGTCGACAAAAAACTGACTTTCCTCCACAAGAAATGACTTTCGTTAAACATTATCTTGATGCTTATTTACACTATACAAAGAACCTACCTGCATATTTCAAGAATCTAAGTTCAGTAGCTTCGGCTCTTCGTTAATATAAAAGTGTCAATCAATTTTCAAATTTTTCATATTGTGGAAGGTAAGAATACCCAAATGCCTTATATCAAATCAAAATAAATAAAGAGTGAGGTAAATAATTAAATCAATGTTCAACGGTGCCTAATGGGGTTTTCAGAGTTTTACTTTGCCATCTGGCCTATAAGATCACCAAATAATATAATCGGCATTAGACCAGCTATGTTGTAGGCTTGTTCCGTATTCTCCGTAGCCTCAAGAAAACTCTTTTGCGGAGACTCGGAGACGTTGCAGAATGAGGTGCTCCGTATTTGCACGAATAGTGACAGATACATTTCATTGAATGATCTGTTAGATCTGGCTGAAGCTCAGAGGGTTACTGATCATATTAGAAGGCTGTCTCATACATTTTTCAAGTTCTTTTTACCGAAAGGCCCGCTGACGAGGAACGTCAACGGCAACGAAAACGAAACAGATCGAATATCTTCAAAACACATGTTTTCTGAAAGGATTGCAAAAACACGTCGATTTGTAATTCAAGTGGGACATCTTTTTTTCATAACCTCAACTGTCACACCTCTCCCTCACCCCTCGGTCACTATCACCCAAACAATTTGAAGGAAAGTAGTAAGTGTGACACATCATTCAAAAGGTATTTTCATAAGGAAACCGTGCATGCCAATGTTAGCTACCTAACTTTCTATTTTTGCGCCCTTTTGCGGGAAAGAAACTGTTTCAGTCGGAAAAAACGATCGCATTTAGTTCATGAGAAAACTAGCTAGGATGGTTCACAGGTCACCCGTGATACGAGAATTACTCTAACCTGGTTTTTGCATGAGCATTTTCCAGGAGATTATAGGCAAACCTAAATACTGAACAACAGCAACAATACGCCATCAAGTATCTAAGTGCAACATCCTGACAATTCTTGCTCTGTTGGGCAGAGATCCACCCGTCATCTTCAGCGGGGAGGTTTCCAATACCCTACCGTGGGGCTATGAGATGACTTTTTTTTACAGATATCCTAGATCTCAGCATTGAAGTCTCCTCCTGCCCTGCTCCTGCCCTTCTACTCATTCTATACCTATCCTATTTCCCCCTATACCAACTCCCGTATGTGGGAGATATGTACATATGTTTTTGTCTATATATACACACTGTAACTAGACTGCTCATCTGAACCTTAGAATTTGTAGAGCGAAATATAGGTGTGAGCCACAATAAACCCTTGTCACCGAAAAAAAACTATTGTAACTAAAAAATCATTCATTCAGGGCATCGACTATGTCTTCGGAATCATCGGATACCCAGTCATAGAGCTAAGTATGGCTCTACAAATGGCTGGGATAAACTACATCGGGATGAGAAACGAGCAGGCAGCATGCTACGCGGCTCAGGCTATGGGATACTTGACTGGCACTCCAGGAGCTGTTTTAGTCGTGTCCGGTCCTGGATTGCTGCACACCTTTGGAGGCCTGGCGAATGCCCAAGTCAACTGTTGGCCGGTACTGGTTATCGGTGGGTCTGCCCCTGTAGATCATGAAGGAATCGGGGGATTCCAGGAGTGTAATCAGGTTAGTGAGGAACCACTGAAGGGGCGACATATTTTTTCATTTGTTTTCAATTTCGAAAGTTGAAAATGATTTTAAAATTTCGTCTTATAAAATCAGAATTATTGGAAAACAAAATTTTAATATGTTACCCTTTTCGACTTTCGTAAGATACATATCTGTCAATTTGTTTTGCAGTAATTTATGTTCATGTTATCAAGAAAGGTATTGGCTGAATTCGGAAGATAATAATCTGAAATATTGTTCCGACTCTGAGTGCCGCCACCCAAAATTATATTTAGTATACATTAAAAATACTGTCATTGTGGTTTGCATTGGCAAATTTAATATTTTTTTAAAATATTTTTTGGTACATGAGGATTTTTTATTTTGTTGTTGATGTCATTGACGTACTATGATATAAACCTAGTTACAAATACTCAACCACGGAGGAGAAAAGAGATTTAATAAATTGATGGATGTAGCCGTTACTACGTGGGAGGAGATCATAATGAAAATAGAAATGAAAATTTCTATGTTTTTTACCACTTTTAATTGTAACTAACGTTAATTCAGTTTCGTCCTATATGGACATTCTCAAACTAATACAATAAACTAACAATGATTCATTCATTGAGTACCTGAATTTACAGTTCACAATGCGGATGTGCCAATTTAAAAACCGGAGGGTAAATTAAATCGATTTGATCATTTAACAGGTTGCACCCGCAATGTTTATGCTTCTAAATTTCCAAGGATTCTAAATAATTGAGTTTGCAACTCTTCCTTGCATAGTGCAGAATTTCCGTATCGTTTAGATTCGGAAACTTGTGATTGCATGCCAAGGAATGATTTGAGACATTAATAATTTTTATATTTTATTTTAGCAATAAATAAAATGTAACTAAGGTATTTTGACTTGTCAATCCAATGTTTTATTGGTGTCTGATCAATAAACTTCTATCTATCTATTGGAACCTTATGATGGCTTGAAAGATTTTTTCATATGTGTAACAAACATTATTCAAATTCAGTCACATAAAAACATATCTTAATACATCCTATTTCAATTTGTTCATTCCTAAAAAATCATCAGATAAGTCCACGTGATATTTATTGACTTTGAACGTGTCTATGATACATATTCTTTAATAACATCAACATCTTCGACTATGTACGCCGTCTGTTCAAAAAATAAACTCATTTTTAATTTGACTCAAATATTTGTTTATTCATCAATTTCTATTTTGTCCCCTTCAAAGTAGTCTCCCTCAGATATAAATACACGTGTTGCATCATCTTTCCCAATTCTCGAAGTAGTTTTGATATGCACTTCTTGGTATGTCCTTGAGCTTTGTTAGCGATTCGGTTTTAATCTCTTCAATCGTCGCAAAACGTCGTCCTTTCATGGGTCTCTTCAATCTTGGGAACAGGAAAAAGTCGCACGGGACCAAATGTGGTGAATACGGTGACTGAGGTATGATAATGCTGTTGTTTTTGTCCAAAAATCAGAAAGAAGCAATCACGAACGAGCAGGTGCATTATCGTGATGCAAAAGCCATGAACTATTTTTTCACACAACCGAACGTTTTCTTCGTATTTCTTCTCTCAAGCGGCACATAATGTAATGTGGGTTTTTTTTATTTTGATAATAATTAGTGGATATAAAGGCTCTCATCCTCCAATACTTCAGTAATAGCTAGGATGTTATAAACTTCCTTCATATTACTAAATATAAAATGTTCATTACTATTAATATGTCATTGTGACCAATTATTTATTAATTGGTAACATGTGATAATTTTCTTTTCTCCATTTTGAAATCTTCTTCCCCATGTAAGTATTTTCATACTTCATTGTATTAACTATTGTTACATTGAATCGATGAACCTTGCCCCGTCTCTCAGTTGCGGTAAATGGACCTTCTCCATTTTGTGTATTTCAGAATTGGGTTCTAAATCATCTCAATGTAAGATCATCAGTTCCCTCACACCTCCATAAGACTGAGAGGAATGATATTTGAACTGGCTAACCAGTGACCAATGACTAATGGATTAGTCATTGGACCCCACAAAATGTATATCGGGATAACCTTCAATGGTTTTTGGGTTAGCCAGTTCAAATGTCATACCTCTCAGTCTAATGGGGGTGTGAGGGAACTGATGTTCTAACATTGAGATGATTTAGAACCAAGTTCTTATATTGTTATGCTGTTCTTCTTTTATTGTAGAATTTTCAAATAATTAGCTGAAGATGAACCTATATAGGTTTGAAACATGTACTCATTGATGGTTTTACCGTTCTAACATCAGAGGGTGATAATACATTGCGGAGACGACTTTGACTTTTTCTTCATCGTGAATATACATAACTTCAAGATATAACATTGATCATACGACCATGTGACAAGAGCACCTGATACACTAAGCCACAGTAATCGAAGAAAACATTTGATCCGAACTTGGCGTGCTTTTTTTGGTCTTGCTTTTCCTGGGCTCTTCCAATGGGACGATCGGACTTTAGTTTCGATGTCATAATCATATACCCATGATTCGTCATCAATTATGACGCTTTCAAGCAAATCTGGATCGCCGTTGACGTCATTCAACAATTCTTGAGCAATGCTCCTGCGGCGGTTTCTTTGGTCAAAATTCTTCAATTTTGGAACGAACTTCGCTGTCACACGCTTCATGTTCAAAACTTCCGATAAAATTGCATATCATGAGCTAACCGATATGCCGACATCCTCAGCAACTATTCTTGAAGTCATTCGACAATTCTCCATAACAATTTTTTTCACTTTCTCGACATTTTCATCGGCGTCCAGAATGAGCGTCATTCATATATTCTCGACTTTCTGCGAAAATCAAGTAGTGAACAAGAAACTGAAGCATAGGAATATAGACTGCATATAAATGAGAAAAATCAAAATGTAAGTAAGTAAGTAAAAAAATTATTAAACAAAGAGAAGTGCTCAATAACTGGCAACTTCAAATTTGAAAATGTCAAGACTTGCAACTACCTTGGAGTGATGGAAAAGAATGAATTCAAGTGATGATTAGGAAGATACAGAATGACGCTAAATAACAGAATACCAAGTAGAATGATAGGAATAAAATTTTATAAAATGTTGATATGGTCAGTTGTTCATATACAGTGTATTTCTTTAATGTCCCCCCTTTTATTTTTTGAACGGGTCAACTCAAAAAATTGAAATATAGAATAATGAAATCAATGCATGAATACTTCATTCTGAAGTAAAATTGACAGATGAAACTTTCAAGATGGCTACTGGGCGCCATCTGGAAAAAAAATTTAATGGAAAGGGAGGTCTTGTGACACATCTTTTTGAAGCTCTTGACAAATGCTTTACAACCCTAGAATTTAATGTTAATATCTTTAACTACTACAAAATGGCGGAACTTTTAATAATTGCCTGGATACATTGACATTTAACTACATAATATAAGGTAATAAGCTTGAGGTCAGTTCAGAAGATGCTTGAAATGGTTGCCTTGAATTTCTTGACAAATGAACAGCCTATCCGATATTTCACGCCGAACATTTTCGAACACACAGTAACGTCAATGTCTCTACAAATATTCATTATTCTCTGCCGTGTATCCAATATTGAAGCAGATTCAATTTCTTCATCTTTTGCACCCAATGAGCCCCATAAAAAAAGGCCAAAGGTGTCAAATCTGGCGAGCGGGCTGGCCATTCTGTAGGACCTCGACGGCCAATCCAACGACCGGGAAAAGTTGTATCCAAATAGTTTCTTACTTGTCTGGAGTAATATGGTGGAGCCTCGCAAGGAAGAGAAGCTGTCACAACCAGTGCTTGCACTTCCCTACATCAGAGGATTATTGGAGAGGATAAGAAGAATTGGTTCCAAGTACAACATTAGAACCTGTTTCAGATTCGGTAACACTATCCGTAGCAGCCTCACGAAAACCAGGCCCCCAAACGCGGACTGCGATTCCAAGAATTGCATTTACCGGATACCCTGTGAGTGCGGAAAATCCTATATTGGTGAAACTAAGAGGCCATTGAATGTNGGTGGAATTGGCAAGACCTTACTGCAAATATTCCGCTAGACCTGCCAGTATCTCCCTGATTCCGCTTCACGTAGAAAAAGCTGTTCGTCTTGCAAAAACTGGCAGACCAGGAGCAGCGTATCTCGACTTCCCAGACAATATCTTGAGAGGTTAGTCAGGATTTCAAGTAATAATGAATTTAATTTCAATGTGCATTTCATCAGTTCGGACTTCCATTGTCTGATATGATATAAATTGAATTGAAGTTTTTGGCTTTCTACTACTCCATCTTGATACAAAAAAAGGGGACTCAGAACTCTACTCAGTAGAGTACTGAGTAGAGAAAAGAATCTTCTGTATAATTCAGTGTTCATTTGTTTCGAAAGAATTTTTTCTTTCGTGTAATTCAATGTTTATATGAAAGTAGCTGTTTCAGGAGGACTCTCTTCCAGTTTGTGTCTGAAAGTTACTTCTTTGCATGATATGGCTCCAACTTGAAGAGTTCCGAATTGTTCACGAATATTTGCATCTAAACTACGCAAAATTTAAAGTACTGAATGGGAAAAAGGTGATCAAATTAATGTCCAAATATTATATATATTTTATCAGATATAGACCCTCAATTGAAAACATTCAAAGTCCTGCATTTTCGCCATTAAGCTGTCAAAAATGGTCTGTTGTAAACGTTAAAAAAGTTTCAGTATAATTCGCTGTTGGGTATCCCACGAGAAAAAATTGTCACTAAAATACCTCCTTTGCCATGGTGATTTGTCAAAATAAACGTATTTTGATGGGTTCAAAATTACAGGGGTTGAATTTTCATAACATATTTGTGGTTGTTTTTGCTTTTTTCCAATTATGTTTTCCAAACCCACTTTTTCACAGATGAAGGCAAGAGAAAACGTTACAAAATAAAGAACCACATGCAACTCAATCTTACTTTTTTTTTAATTGGTATATCACTTACAAAGGACTACAAATTGTGAAGTCTGAATATCACAAAATCACCTGACCAGTATCTCAAAAAAGCAATCACCTTTCAGATCTACAGCTTTACAGCAAGCAGACGTTATCCTCCTTTTGGGAGCACGATTGAACTGGATTCTCCACTTTGGTCGCCCCAAGAGATTTTCGCCAAACGTAAAAATCATCCAAGTAGACTTAAACGCTGAGGAGCTTCACAACAGCGTGAAATCTGAAGTGGGCATTCAAAGTGATATCAAAACGGCGGTGAGACAAATAGCAGATGGTTTGCAAAAGCAAAATTATGTCTACAGTGATCGTAGCGAATGGTGGAAACTTTTGAAGAAGAAATGCCAAGAAAATCAAAAAATTGTTAAGGTACAATGTTTCTGTCTTTATCTATTAGGTTGTTTCAGAAGTTTTACCAGTTTGTATGAGTCTACGTTGAACTGTAATATTTCAATCGGTGCAAATTTGCCAACGTAACACAAGTCGATTAGTTCGGTCCGCATAAAAATTGTGTGCTCGAGATTCGATAAAGTCGATGAAGGTTGTTTTGCCTGGTCCTGATTGGCGAAGGTTATACCGGTGAGAAAATCATCGAAGTGCTTGAAAATATGGTAGTCGGTTGGCGAGAGGTCTGTGCAATACGGTACGTGAGGCAGAACTTCAACGTTTTGTGAAACGTGCGAACGAGCGTTGTTGTGGAACAGCATCAGACCTCTTCTGTTGCCCAATGCCGGCTGCTGCTGACGAAATTTCAGATACATATAGTCTATTTTCCCACATAAGGACTCTGATGTGATGGTTTGGTCCGGTCACACCAGCTTCTGACAACCATACAGTAACTATGGTCCAAAAGAGGATCGTTTTGGTTGCGCAAAAGCAAAGGAAAAGAGACCTCGCAATGTGACGATTTTTGTCGATCGTTCAAATCTTGGGCAAATCATTTCGAACTTTTGGACCTTTCCAATATGTTTCAAACCATCAAAAACCGCATGGGAGCTAACGGCCACCGTTTGTGATGGGTCAGTTTCCACCAGGATCCTCAAATCTTCCTGGATTACTGTAGGCTGACCACTTCTGGGCTCATCTTCGAGGCCAAAATCTCCGGAACGAAATTTTGCAAAACAATCTGCGTTCATCAACACTGTCATTGCCAAATGCCTGGTTAATTTTTTGGGCTACTTCGGTAGCACTTTGGTTCAAAAAAACTACAACAATAATAACAACTACAAAAACTAAAAACAATAATAACAACAGCGAATAAACTGAACACAATATCAATTTTCGGCCGTTGATTATAACTAATCCGGTGCCGGTGGGCCCGTCGAATCCTTCGATACTACAGCACTGAACGCGTTGGATGAGAATCTCATCCTAAGAGCGGTTGAAGGTCCCGGCAACTCGGGCAGCTCACGTGGTAAGAGAGCCTACTGGTTGTATTATTCTATACTGTGGTAATGAACTGAAAAGTGGCAAACAAATAATATTTGTAAAAAATTAGTAGCATTGGAGAAATTTTCAGAATACCAAATCCTAATATTTCGGTTATCCCAATAATGATAATTTTGGCGGGTCACTTGGTCATTCAAAATAAAGGTGTACATAAGTAACCTTTTTTTTTATTGATTCTTAAAGGAAAGTAATAATGATAATAATAATAATTTATTCTACTCTTGTTTTACATTTTTGTACATATATATGACACACTGCAGAAGATAAACGGGAAAGGGGAATGAATGAGCAAACCTACAGAAGATGAAATCTGTGCGTAGGGAATTAGACGGGGAAGTTCAATTGAATCTGAAGTTGATAATGATAATATAACATAGTACATAGTTCTAGTACTAATTGTGAGAATAATTAAAAATATAGCTGCGTTCCATTTTTTGTAGGCGATGGCTGCAGATGTGTCTGTTCCATTGAATTATTATGCGGTTTTCAAGAATTTATTTGACAGTTTGCCTGAAGACTGTATCATTGTTAGTGAAGGAGCTAATACCATGGATATTGGAAGGTCGATGTTATTGAATAATCAACCTAGGCACAGACTGGATGCTGGAACATTTGGAACAATGGGGGTGAGTTGAAAGTAGCAGGTTGAAATTCAATTTCATATCCATAAAACATGCCTCTAAATTATCAAAAAGCGTCATATCAATAACGCGTATTGATAGTTTTCAGTTTTAGGGACAAAATTAATGATCTCAGTGCTCTCCAGTAGTTGAGGTGCAATCAATTTTTAACATATTTACTTTTACTTTCAACATTCAAATTGTCAAATGTAAGAAAATACTAATCTTTGGACAATGAATTGAAAGTAGAATACGCTTTGATGTGTAACATCTATAGCCGCACGTAAAACCGATTGCTGGTATGGCGACGAGTCGCCATGCGCAAGCGACTGTGCGATTCTCTCTTTTGCCACACTGAGTTCGGATAACTATAGTGTATACAGTTGTGTTTACTACAGTATACATAACCTGTGTTCCACTTAATAAATAATTTTCAAAAATAAATGAAAATAAAATATGTCTGACAGATGATGATTTAGAAAGTGAAAGTGAGCAGCCTTCTGCAAGGAAAGCCAAATCACATTATGACACACTATCAAGTCATCAGTAAGTTAATTATATTTTTATATTTCATAATTAAAGTGTGCATTTATCTGTGCATTAAGCCACCGTATATTTGGTATGTCTCAAGGGTCAGTAAGTGTAAAATATATTCCGGAAATTTTTTCGAGCTCATGAATATTTTGAATATTTGAAATTTTCTAGAAATATTCATCAGCGAGAAAAAATTTTTGGATATTAATTTGGCCACGCGTGGAATTCGGTGAGAAAATTCCACATCGAATTGTGGTGGAAAATCAAATATTTTTAAAATTTATTTTTTCATTTTCAACAATCCCAATTATTTTCATTGTAGTTGCATGAGAATACCATTTCAAGATAGAAAATACTATATTCTTCAATTTTGCATAAGTTTTGAGTAAGTACATGCGGTAGAAAATCGGTTTTTTTTGCGTTTTTATTAATATGGGTTATGCGCACTTTAATGGTATGGAGTTCATAACTAGCGTCAGCAATTTGTTTGAAGGTGATTGACAATGTTTCGTGATGAATTTCACTAGTTCGGACTTCCATTGTCTATTATATAAAATGATTTGAAATCCCTGAAACANATTCAACAACTACCATTGTGTAAAATAAACATGTCTCCTTGAAAAATCTGTTTAAAATATGTTTTTCCGTCAACCAGCTGTCGCCCCTATACGAACGACAACTCTCAGAAGTTAAGAAACTTGTACGAGCTAAGGACTAACCAGGTCTTACCTTTTAGCGTGTGATTCCTTACGCTAGCCAATCAGATTTAATTGCAACCATCTGGGGAATTCATTGTTACAGTGTCGAAGTGGTCAATTACGTTTCAACGCCTGTGGAATGTACACATACGGTATTTTAAAGTTTAAAATTTTCACGATGTCAAATGTCTCTACCCAGCCGCATATTATCTCAGCGCGACTCTGAACAAGCAGCCTTTCCTGGGAGATCACGTGCACTAAGCATGATGATGTTTTGGAGCACTCCGTTGCTTGGTTGGACAGAGTACAGTATATTAATGCCACATTGAAATGTTTTGATGTATTCTACAAAGAATGTGATAACATGCGAGATATTTTCCCTTCCCTTCTCACTTGTTTTCAATGGTACTAACTTCCCATCACCACCGGAATAACCAATCAAGAAATGGTTCGGGGTAAGAGAATCTGCATTGGTAGGGATAGTCGAACTCTCGAAACAGTTTGCAGTGTTTTTTCTCGAATACTCTGATCATGGAAAACTTTGCTAATAGTTCTTTTCACTATTCCAAACAATCTCTTTCAAGCTTCTCCCATATGAGCTGAAGAGGGAGGGATACACTTGAAAGTGACTCCTCTTCCAGACATACAATCAATTATACTGGAATGGTCCATTTTATAAATGGTTTGATGTATTTCTTCTGCTGCACATCTTAGAATTGTCTCACAATACTCTTCTTGCAGAAATTCTCAAGATTGATTGAATGATCGAGCCGGTGTTAAGGCTATGGACTACTTCAAGATTGATGGCTCTAAGCGCTAAGCAGGAGAACAGAAAGCCACGCTCATCTTCGATATTCGAGAATTGAGTTCTCTGTCGGCCCCACAGATGGTGTCTTCGTGCCATCGCTCTTACTTACTCAGGTTTGTCCTTTAAGAACAATTAAGTCCAGCAATATCAGTCTGCTCCGTTAGTCAGGGAAGCTATGGACTATACTGTAGACGACCCCTCCCCATATAGAAGGCCCAGACACTCTGTCGAATGAGGCCCTCATGTCCTCCGTTAGAAGATGAACAACATCTTCATCCAAACACCCCAGCCAGGTAGGGGTTCACCATGAAGAGCGGTAACGATGTCTGAGAACTTTCATACCGCCACCAAATAATCAGTCTTGAACCGCTCGTCCTTCTGACGAGCATCAGTCCTAAGGATAAGGGAGCTGGGCTCCAACCTGCTTGAAACGAAGATGACTTTCCACATATCAGTCTGCTCTCGTCGGCGCCTAAGCTGGCTGAAAGAGTCGTTCTGCAAAGGCTCAACAAAGAAGTTGAGGACCGAAATGTTCTGCCTAACAAACAAGTCGAATTCAGGAGAGAACACTCCACCGAGATACAGGCTCTAAGACTGGTCGAAAACACCATCGAAGAGCTGAACAATAATCATAAAGTTCACGTTGTCCTTTTAGACATTTCGAAAGGCTTCGGCCGTGTGTGGCATGAAGGCATGGATTGGGTCTTTCCTGAAAAACAGAACATTTCAGGTTAGAGTTACTGAAACGGGAAAGGCTGAAGATCAGTTGGTTGCATCTATCTGTTCCACCATCGCTTTGATGATGTCTAGTTCCTGAATTTGAGTGTGAAAGTCTGAGGACTTTCATTTGTCCTTCTGACGAACGCCAGCTGTAAGGGTAAGAGATCCAGACTCCAACTGTTTAGAACCAAGATGACTATTACGAACATTTCATTTGTGGTTTGTTTCAACTAAACACAAAGTTTAACTGTTATGTCAGTCTTTGGCATTTGTAGAAGAAAAGGATGCTGTATTAAAGTATGTGTTAAATCGCGTATTTTATTGTTGACGCACATGTATTCTTTCGTTGACCCAACTCTAGAAATTGTTACTTTGCTCATACTCTTTTATTATGCCTAGAATATATCATAAATCATGATTTATTTTAGGTTGGTATGGGTTTTGGAATTGCAGCAGCATTATACTGTAGAGATAACGAGCCAGACAAAAGAGTGATTTGTGTTGAAGGTGATTCAGCATTCGGCTTCTCCGGTATGGAAATAGAAACCATGGTGAGGTATAAATTGCCTATTACTATCGTAATTGTAAACAATTCTGGAATATATACTGGAATGGATCCTGATGTATTCAAAGAAATCAGAGACGTTGAAGTGACAGAAATTGCAAAGGTGTAAGTATACTAAAAAACCTAACTATTTCATATGATTTTCTTTATGTGGTTTAGATATACCGAGGAGAGCATAAGCACAAGCATCTTGTATTGAATTAAAAAAAAACAACAATACAGTAATCGTTATTTTTTCTAAACTAGTAATTGCTGGAAAATCGATTAATTATTAATTTAAAATTATTATTTTCACAAACATGCCAAAATATGACCCAACTTTCACCATCAGAGTAATAAAAAATTGAAACTTATGACAGGTGTCGTTTTCTCCAGCGGCTGAATTCAACAACTACCGTCTACCAATGTAATGCAAGAATGTACAAATTATCCCAAATCTCGAAATTATTAATATTTCAATCATGCATTGGTTCAACGTTCAACATAAGAATAAGGAATCGCAACGAGGTTTGCCTTAGAAAATATGTTGGTGTTACCGGTCTATTACAAATTGTAATCTATTTCTTACTACTTTACTGTAGTTCAGTGATATGTATTTTTCTAATAGGGACAATACTAATAAAAATACAGCATTCTAAATCAAATTTAATTTTTAAATTTTCATGAAGTGACTGAAAATATTAATTAGTGTGGCCAATCACATTAGGCGGCATGGCATGGAATTTTCAAACACGCAGTTCAAGTGTGAAACGTTTCTTGAGATTTTCCTGCTTATTCTGCAAATAAGCCTCGTCAGAGCGCTGTTGTCTAGAGGCAGCATGTGCCGTGCACGATCAAATGAGCACAAAATCATATATATGGGCAATGAAAACACCTAACTTTCAAACTTTTTTTTCATGAAGTGACTGAAAATATTAATTAGTGTGGCCAATCACATTAGGCGACATGGCATGGAATTTTCAAACACGCAGTTCCAGTGTGAAACGTTTCTTGAGATTTTCCTGCTTATTCTGCAGATAAACCTCGTCAGAGCGCTATTGTCTAGAGGCAGCATGTGCCGTGCACGATCAAATGAGCACAAAATCATATATATGGGCAATGGAAACACCTAACTTTCAAACTTTTTTTGATGACTCATTTCAAATAGTCATCTTACGAGTTGATATATTCAATATTTGATAGATGTGACAAAATTATTTCAACAAAAAACATTATGTTTTGAAATAGTTTGAAATGATTTCTCGCCAAAATGTGGGTATTCGACTTACCTGTCTTTTTTTTATTCAAAAAATAACCGCATCAACCGCGAAGTGTTATTAGCGAGAACAATTAGGTATGATTATATTTTATGTAATACATGAATAGATTTCAAAAAGGTTAGTAAAGAGTTCAAGTTCACCACGTCTAGGGCAGAATTGAGATCACTGGGAAGTCTTGCTTCTTGTCTTTCATATTCAAAAACTGGGCACTCCAGGATAATGTGTTTCATACTGTTGATTACACCACAAATATCACACCCCGCAGCATATTCTTTATTCATAAGGTATTGGTGTGTTAGTCTTGTGTGTCCGATTCTGAGGCGAGTAAGAATGACTTGATGTCTTCGTTGGGCCGATTGGTAATTCTGGAAGCGCATGTCGAGATTTATCTTACGTAATTTATTTCATTCCATGGCCATCGATATTTCTTTCCAAGTGTTTGCTATTAGTTTCATTATGGTATTAAAGTAAACTGAGTGGGGAATTTGTTCAAAAAGTGTTGCGGAAGAAGTAACTGTAACATCCGAGTGACCGCATCGGTTTTATCATTGCCTCAGATTCCAGTATGGGAAGGTATCCAGATTAATTTGATACATTTTTGGTTCTGCATTAGCTTGGATACCTTTTTCTTCATACGGACAAGTAGTGAATTGCTTGAGTATACCTGTCTGATTCCATGAATTGCGCTGAGAGAATCGGTGATAACAGAGTTGCCGTCCAGTCTTTCACAGTGTGCTACGGCTTGATCTATGACGTATAATTCACCTGTATAAACACTACAGATTGGCGGCAGACGGTAAGCATGCTCCATATCTCTTGTGATGACGGCTGCGCCCACACAATCAGAAGATTTCGAAGCATCTGTGTATAAGTGATTGTATTCCTTGTAGTTGGAGATTATTTCAGAGAAAGTTTTTTGGATAAAACTTGGTGTGATATCATTTTTTCTGTGGGCGGTTAGTTAGGTGTTGGAATCTTTATGGTCCATGGTGATGGGTGGTGGAGAGCAGAAACCAAGTGACATGACATTTTTAGGGACTTCAGGATTATTAGGAATTTTTGATATTTTTGCGTAGAGTGGTAATGCACCTTTATTACTTTGATCGAAAAGAAGGGGAAATCTGTTACTGAAGGTATAGTGATAGGCGGGGTTGTTTATATTATCAAAAATTCTTGCAGCATACGTAATGGTCATGTATTCACCGCGAAGATCGAGAGGCTGCTCTCCTGCTTCAATAAATTAACTTTCCACTGGACTACTACGGCATGCTCCTAAGGCGATCCTGATGGCGGCATGGTGAATGACATCACATCAATGACAAGAGCTGACTTATTTACAGTAGAGTGGGCAATACATCCATAATCTTATTTTAGATCTTATTAGCGCCCGATAGATGGTTAACAAAGTATTGCAGTCCGCTCCCCAGGTGTGATTTGACAAGACGTTCATTAGGTTCAAACCATTTTGACAAGATTTCTTAACATCGTGAATATGGGCGCTCCAATTCAGTTTGTAGTCAAAAGTCATCCCAAGAAACTTTGTTTCCTCAACGAATTTCTCACTGCTGTCCATTAAGCGTAAAGTTTGGGAAATGAGTTGTTTTTTATCATCTTTTGGATTCTTTCGATTGTCTTGGCTTTCATACTTTTTTGTGTATGGCACGCAGAAGCGAAAAAAATCGTGGTCTGATTATGTGCTAAATTTAGCAACCAACTAACTTCATTTCTTCATTCAATATTCTTAGATCCAAACAAAATATGAGATTTAAAGATGAGTACCCCTCCATATTTCACAAAATGTTGGTATTTTATATGCCAGCTGTCAATTTTTGTGAAGGAGTTAATGTTTCTCGATATTTTGAAAGTTTTTGTAATATGGAGGGGTGAACCTGAAAAATTTACTAAGCAATTCAGTTTGAAGGTTCCTAAAAAAATTAACTTATTCGTGGTGAAAATAATCACCTTATAGCTGCCATCATTGTATTGTATCAATCTAGAAACTGATACTCAAATTTGTTCAAAACTCATTATTGAATTTCATCAATTTCTTGATTTTCAGTGGATATGACTATATGACAACTTTTTTTTTGTTTTCTGAAAACTTATTGTATTAACGTATGTATATATTTCAGAACGCCTCCAGGATGTTTGTCAAGCGTAACCCGTTACGAAAATATGATGAGTCTTTTTGGCAGTCGCGGGTTCTTCGTTAACAATGTCCCGGAATTGAGAAAAGCTGTTAAGGAAGCTCTGACGATGAAAGATGGCCCCACTATAATCAACGTTATCATCAATACCACAGCTGATAGAAAACCACAAACGTTCCATTGGCTAACGGAATCCAAACTTTGAATGTTGTATCTGTAAATATTTTATTTTTGAAGTAAATTGAAAATGGGTTTTATTCTTCATTTTATTCAAAGACAATGTAACTTTTCAGTATTCCCATCAAATTGAACTCAAAAATAAACTGTCTAGCGGAGGTACACAAATAGGCTCGAAAGTGTTAAGCATGCCAATTTCAATACATGTTTCTGCGGGATTATAATTTTTGTTTACATTCCGTCATATCATTCAACTTTAGCGCTCGCTTCCTCTAGTGATATCACAAATGTGGCGGTCAAAATCTTTGCTTTCGTAAATCCTCCCTATATACAAACCCTAATGGCTGATACCTTTGAGAGTTGTGGCTATAAAAATGAATCTGAAAAACATGTAGAAGTTAACCCTACTTCTTTATATTGATTTCATAGACTTGACAATATGGAGACTTTTACATACATTCGCGGTTTTGGAAATGATGTCACTACACAAAAGAACTATGGCATAACTAATATTGTCGGAACCCGTTACTCGCTTTGCTTATTACGAGAGGATTTATCGCAGTTTCACCCAACCCTCATTCATCCAAATAATGAGAACTCATTTAGAAACCTAATAAGACATTAATTATGAAAAAACGAGAAAAAATACGCTCCGAATGAACTAACATTAAATAGTTATTTTTGAGAAAAATACAAAGAATCATCAAACACTTACATTATACTGCTACCCATCAGGATCGAAGAAAAGAAGATGTGCTGCATTCTAAAAATGCTCTGGAACCGTTTCTTAAGAGTGATCAATGAATACTGAATGAATATCTCAATACTTTCTGTTGATGATTTTGACCTCCCTCAATATTTATAGAGATACATATGCTGAGGTTGCAACTTTGCTCCGGTCACCGTACTAAGGTAAAATACTTAATATGTATCCGTGCAACTTTTCATATCCGGTAATCGTATCAATTTTGATGTCTATGAACTTAGAATATTAAAAGATGGAATTGTGAATACTGAGTGTTTTCGTTTTAGAATATTGAAGTTGAGGTTGAAACATCTTTCAATTCATGTATTTGCTTGAATGAATTTGAATTATTTCCAATAGTTGAAACTTTACTAATTATATGGCCCTAACCATATTTCAATGAATTGAATTTATTCTGAACTTCTATAAATTAGACTTTCTATTGAACTAAACTATATATTGATATCACTGGAGTTTCTTTCCCAACACCAAACCGTTATTTTCACACCAGTTTCCTCTTCCTCTTGAAGATCATCACTTAGTGATCGAAACACGTGTTGAGGTGTTGAAATAACGGTTTGGTGTTGGGAAAGAAACTCCAGTAATATTCATTACTACACCAAAGGTTCCAAACAGTGTATCACAAGTAAACTATATATCTCTACTAATCTGTTCAACTTATTCATCAGCAACGCAAGTTATAGAAATCACGAAATGAGGTCTTGATTGAAATAGTCTAAACAATCCACAGGAACTGAAAAATGAAAAATTACCATTATCAAAAGAAAACATATCAATCACACACAAGCACTTGAAATGCGCATTTGTTCAACACTTCTATGCCCAATCTTTTAATTGAATAATCACCATAATCAAAAAGTCTAAAAAGTACCGAAATACTCAAAACTCCTATCCAAATAAATCAAAATCCCAAAATATTTACAGTGAAAGTATACAACACGTAAAACATCATGACGTCAATATGAGTACGTATTGCCAAAACGTGGATCTCTCCACCCTTTTTAGGTGTTGAAGTCAGTTTTCTCTCTTCAATGACCAGTCCATATTATGATGTTAATGGGTGATTTATGTTTTTTTTTAATTAGGTTATCCCATAATAAATAATATGAAATCGTTTATGGGATATTCATTCATCCCGGTTTTTTAGTTGTAACGCTGATTTTTTAAAAGTACCTAGTGGGTTATGAATTTCTAGCGATAAGTGGGGTGATCAGCAATAATTGAACTGGAAAATAACAATTTTTATTCTACAGTATTCGAGTATTTAGGTACTAAACATGCCAAAAAGAGGATTTAAGAGAAAAAGAGACGACATGTATGGAAATATGAACATTAATGAAGGAGGCGAAGGAACCTCACAATCAAGTAATACAGGAAGGCATCCACCTGAACTCAGAGGAAAAGAAATTGGACTATTTTATGCAAGGCGAAACAAAGTAAAAATTGTTTTTTATTAATTGCTTTCCCAAAAGCTTATGTTACTCTGGGAATAAATGAATTTTTTATCAATATAATATTCTTTCTCTACTCTAGAACAAGGAAGAATCATATTTCATTCATCATTTGTCTATAAAATCCTAAGAAAGTAATATGATTCATCCATTTTAGTATCGAAAAATTTTCATTATGTTCTCCAACAGTCTACCAGTTATTCACTAGTTCAAGCTCACAATCAACTACCAACCAACATATAAATTTCAGAAAGTTTCGAAATATTTCAGTCAAAATTCCTCACAATAATATTGTTTCATGCATTGATTGTTAGAACATACTTTTACTTTATATTTAAACTTGTATTTTACAAATCTTGACATCATATCTTTTGGACGACAAGTGATGTAATGAATTCATTTATTTTACCTGTGAAATTTTATTTGTATGTGTTCTAAATATGCGATTTTTTTCTTAAAAATTGTATTTTCTTAGTCTTGTGCTAAACAAACGATTATTATTATTGTTTAGGAAAGAGGAAAGGGTAACTGGAAACTGAAAAGAGACGCAAAACCAGTAAGTAATATTTTTAATAGTTTTTTTTTACTAACTGAATAAGGCATTCCAATGTACTGAATATCATTCTGTTTGTGATAAAATTTCTTAAATTCTATTTATTGCTAATGAGAAATCTTTCTTATGTATTTATTACATTTTCAGTCAAAACTCTACTTGAAAAAAAGGTGTTGATATTATTGATGTGTAATTTATTAAAACATTTCAAAATTATTCTGGAGCATTATAAGTCATTATTTTTGTAAAAAAAACTATTTTGAAAAATAAATTTCATGCAAAATATTGAAAAGTAGATCAGAGAAAAGATTACAATTTCAAGGTGTTACTTTCGTTTCTGATATAAATTAGAAACAAATACTAAATACAAGTACAATCAACTAAATTTCTAGGAAGCAACTTAGCCAAATACTTTGGTACGTAGATACAACTTGATCATAAATATGTAAAAAACTGCTCGTGCATGTTTATATTAATTTTGTAGTATAAACGAAAAGTATTTTTTACTTAATAATGAATAAAATCAAAATTTATTCATCATCGAAGTTCATACAAATGTATAATCATCTAAAATTATTGGACCAGTCATAACAGAAGCTACAGCAGTACAGATAAAATAAGTATATATTAAAAGAACTCTTATCGGGTCACTAGTGAAAGAACAGTTGTATGTCAAAGAACATTGAAAGCTACAAAAATATAAGTACCTATGTATTGAAAGAACTACCATCTGTTTATTAATGAAAGGAAACAATCGTACAAACAGAGAACATTAAATTCATGGAAAAAATGAAATATGTTTTCTTCCAAGTATATGTAAAGAACATTCCTGAAATAATTTTAATTTGACAATTTGTGAGTTGCATCAAACAGTTCCTTAAAGCAATTAGAACACCTTATACCTTGCTAAATATGACAGTTTTGCAGAGATACTGTTCTTTGTAGCTGCCTAATAAGAAAGCACGTAGTGTCTAATTTTCGCACAAGAGCATCGAGGTGTTCCTCCCATGTCATCTTATGGTCCATAACAATTCCAAGAAATTCAATGGAAGTCAGTTGTTGAATGCTTTTATTATTGGTTGTTATCAAATAGCTAACATCATTATTCATATAAAAAGTTTTGGATACATTTACTAATAGTCCATTATTAAGATACCATCTATAAAATTCATTTGTAGTGACATTCACCTTTACTACTACCTCTCGTGTGTTAGTTTCTGAGACCAGTATATTAGAGTCATCAGCATACATAAATATTTTTTGATCTTTATTAATCCCAAGGAACAATAATGTTTGTAACAGCGATTCATGTTGAATGACAGAGAAACTTTGTATTTCATCAAAGGGTAATTTGATGCATTGATGGTGGTAAGAATTACGAGTAGCTGTGAACTATTCAAAAAGCTGCATATTCTAAATGCAATCTCAATCAACATTTACCACTTATAACCTTCATAACATTGAATCATCCCAATAAAAACTCTTCCATAGACTAACAACACACAGTTAATGGGAATCTAGGTGTTCGATAAATTGCTAGAATATATAAAAACCTCACATAATCAGGTGATGAAAGAACTATATTACCTTTCTTCCTCTGTGAAACCGTCTGCATTGTTGATGAATGTTACTTAACGATGAAATTTGATATAAACCTTTCTATTTTCTTTTGCTTTTGATATATGTTGATGTCAATTGCAAATGATGTGATGTAAACTAATAATTAAAATTTATATTTATTCGTTTACTTCTTGTATGTTATTATATCATTATTCATTTATATTTTCTCATTACTTGAATTTAATTGTACAGGCTTTTATAACTTCTTACTCTGCTATACGACAATGCATGGAAGTTGCACCGTTTATTTCTTCCCTGCACACTCAATTATTATTAATAGATCATTTTATCTTTAAAAAATACTAACCTAAGAGGAATCGATTGTATTTCCACAAAAAACTTGAAAAGTATTCATTCATACAATAGCGAACCAGTAGCATTTCTAACTATTCGTTCTATCAAACTCAGCGAATTTCCTGATGAACTGAAAATTGGTGTTCTTTCACCAATTTTGGAAAATGGAGGCCCCAACATCATGTTAAAAAAAAATCTGTTTTTCCGTTAATCAGACCTATATTATTACCCACGGTATTATGAAAGGTGTTTGAGAAATGTGTGTATAATAAGATGTTTACTTTTTTGGACAAGTTGAACATAATAACCAAGTTTCAACACCGATTTTAGCGGGTTTCGTCGATTGAAAGTGCTTTATACGAGTTTTGTGAATATGCTTATCATGCCCTTGATTAAAAAAGTACGTTGGTGCTCTTTTTTTCGATTTATCCAAGGGATTCGATATCAAACATGAAATAATCCTGAGTAAGTTATACTCGCTAGGATTTAGACTTTAGAGGAAATGAACTTTCATGGCTGAAGTCATACTTGACTCTCAGAAAAATGTGCGTGAAATATGATAACTGTCAATCACAACCATACGGTAACGATAATGGAGTCCCTCAGGGATCCATCTTGGGACTTCTAATCATTAGTTATGTGCCAGAACATGTAAATACAAACCAAATAATTCTATATGCAGACGACACAACACTTGCTGCAGAAGAGGCAAAACAACACAAGTTGCTCAGTTTATTTTGGATGATTATATCGAGAAGAACAAAGGGTCTGCCTGTAAAATAGTATGTACGCAACCAAGAAGGATAAGTGCTATATCTGTGGCAGAACGGGTTGCAGAAGAACGGGCTGAAAAACTAGGAGAGAGTGTTGGCTTCCAAATTAGGCTTGAAAAGTAAGTTATGTCTATATTACTAATATAAAAAACTATAACTTTTGAAATTGCTAAGGTAAACTTCTTATTTTGTTTCTCACTACATCTTTTTGTTTGACATTATTTTCTTTGATGATGTCATGGTGCCGCCATATTAAATTTTGACAAAATGGTTCCTACCCCGCCATTTTCAATTAAATTGGACACATGATCATCGCTGGAAAGACAATTTCATATTTTATCAGATGGTTAAAAAAATATACAGGGTTTCGTTAAGAATGTTTGACTTGTGTGTCTGTTTGTGCTCGAACTGGAAGGGATTTTCAATTGGTTTATCGTTAGGGATATCCTTTGTCTAATGACAAAATGTCAATTTTCTTGTCTAACAAACATTTGAATGATACCCTGTTACTGGTATAGGGCCACGCTTGTATGACAGGCGATCAGAATTGTAGTCTCAAATACTCGAGCCCATCAGATTTGGCTATGATGAGTTGTTTACAAGCCGAAAGATGTGCATTTTACAAATCTTGATGATTTCAGCCTGAGTTGAGGAAGTGCAAATGTCACAAACTTGCGAAAAAGACGTCAACTCGACATTCTAGAGCAAGATTGATTTCTTTTCTTTTGATGGAATTAATTTGAGGATTAGGAACAAGTAGAATCTGTCAATTTCGGTTAATCAAAGTACCAAAAATAGTCGGTGAAGTTTGGCGGTGGAGGAACATTTGTAAATGATTGTTTTTCAGATCAATGAAAAACACCACGAGATGGCGTTATAAGCCGTCACACTCACAGTCTTTTGAATGGGAGCTTCATTTGGTTTCACTTGACATCGTCTCTGAATATCTGAAGCAATTGAGTAAATTTCATTTTTTTTCCATTTTTTGTCTGAAATTTAGCATCGTGGGCTCTCCTATTAATTGTAATTATTCGTAAACATGTTATAATTTTGTTATCAATTGTAATAATAATAAATTTCTCTTCAAAATTTGTAACCCATAACACTTTTTTTTTCAGGAAATTACCCAGAGACACTGGATCGATAGTATTTTGTACAACGGGAGTTGTTCTCAAACAAATGGAATCTGATCCCTCTTTGAGCACAGTGTCCCACATCATACTTGATGAAATTCATGAACGCAGCATTCCCTCAGACTTTTTGATAACTGTTTTGAAGGAGGTTATTAAGAAAAGGAACGATCTTAAGGTATTTCTTATTTTTTGAGAAAAACTGCAAAACTTTTTTTTTTCGAAGAATGTTATTCAGATAATGCAATCATGGTTACAATAAATATTTTAAATAGCACTATCCAAAAAAAAGTTATCCAAAGCAGCACCAAAATGCTGGTCTCGGAAAACTTAATAGTAATTAATACAGAGAATTGAATAGATATAAGCCGTTCCTTCGTTGAGTATGCTAGTATAAAAACTTTTTATTTAATTCTTCAAGATACTGCTATGTGTTATTTCCTTGTGAAGAGAATTATAAGTTTTCATGCATAGTGTAATGGGATTATTTAGGCCAATATTAGTACGTACAGGTTCTAAAAAGACATTATAATGGGTACGAGTATTGTATTTGTGAAGCTAATTAATGAAAGTGAAGTTGGTATTACATTTGACTTGTTCATGTATAACCTTGTATGCAAATTTACCTTGCTCGTTTTCTAGAACATCCTGAATAGGCAGTATCTTGGTTACACTGTATAAAGTATCAGCTGAGGTTCTGTAGTCGAGCCTGAATAACATTTTCACGACTTTGTTTTGAAGTATTTTTACTTCTTTAAATAATGTCTGTCCAAGTGTACCCCATATAGGAATTAAATAGCTAAAAATTGATAAGAAATATGCACTGTATATTTGATTGGGTGAAGATGGGCGTAAATAGGTTCTACAACGATATAGGGCACTAACCATTGCAATTACTTTTTTTTTTCTACATGAGTGATATGGTTATTCCAGCATAGGTTTTCATCGACTATTAGTCCCAGATATTTGGTATAATGGACTCTCGTTATTTCTTTGCCTCCTATCTCCACTATGATGTCCTGTTGTTTCATGTTCTTCTGAGAGATGATTATAAAAGAAGTCTTCTTTACATTGATTTGAAGTTTATTTTTTGCAAGCCATCTGTGATACCTTTCAAAGTCGGTATTTACTGTGTTACAAGTTGTTTCAAGTCTTTACCCTTATATACAAGAACAGTATCATCTGCAAATTTTAATTATCTACCTATATTTAGCAAACAGACAACAGAGAGTCAGTATCACTAAAGACTCAAAAAACCTCAAATCTGATATTATAACAACATCTATAGGTATACCGCAAGGAAGTGTAGCGGGCCCACTGTTGTTCGTTATATTTATGAATGATTTATGTAAATCTGAATTAGTAGAGAATCAATTTATAACTATATATGCTGATGATACAAGCCTTCTGGCAGGGGGAGAAACATATCCGGAGATGATGGTAAACTGTTGTAACATTTTTCAGAAAACAAAAAACTGGTTGAAAACAAATAAGTTAGTATTGAACGAGTCGAAAACTAAAGTGATGCTATTTGCAAACTATCTAACAGCAGAGGAAAAACCAAATGATATATCATTTTTCAATAATTCCTTTCAGTTATCGCATGATACCAAGTTTTTGGGTGTTTACATTGATGAATGGCTGAACTGGTCACAACATATAGAGGAAATCTCTTCGAAGCTTGGAAAAGTGTCCTATGGACTGGGAATAATCAGTAAACATCTAGAAAAGCAAGCAGCTTTTCTGAAAATTCAGTGTCATTTTATGGCATTGAAGCCATAAAGATATTTGATCAAGGTCTTTTGAAATATTAATTTTGATTTCTTGTAAATTAAAGTGGTGTCATCAGCAAACATTTGTGACTCACCAAATAAACTTACTGTAGCCAAAGAATTGAAATATATAAGAAACAAAACAGGTCCAAGTACTGATCCTTGTGGTACCCCACATATTTTTTTTTACTAATTATGCCGCCAATATAGACATACTGCTTCCTATTCATTAAATAATTTTCAAACCAATTATAAACTAAACTTCTGATACCTATACTATGCATTATTTTCAGGAGAATTTTATGGTCCATAGTATCAAATGCTTTCTTCAGGTCTGATGAAAGAACTACACATATTTTGTCTGAATCTAAACCTAGCTGCAATTGGGTTATGGCATCGAATAAGGCTCAGGATTTGGAGTGTACTCCAGATCACTAAGCCTAAGAATTAAGTGTTTAAAATCTGTTTTTCTGTTGATCAGCTGTCGCCCCCATACGAACGACAACTCTCAGAAGTTGAGAAACTTGTGCGAGCTAAGGACTACCAGCTTTAACCAGATAAATTCTCTCGAAAAAAAAATCTGGTTGAGGCAGGAATCGAACCCACGGTCTTCCGATCGTGAGTCGGGCGCACTGATAATTATGTCTTTTCAAGATATTGAAACAATCTAGAATGTACTGATTTCTCAATAATTTTAGATAATACTAGTAAAACTGAAATTGGTCTATTCATTGATTGCTCAACAGAAACTTTTGTTCGGATGCTAGCTTGCACACTGTTCATCGAAGAGAGATATTACAGTTGAAAAGTTTCTACGGTTTCAGTCATTTTATATTGCATGAATAGATGTTTTCACATCCAACAAAGTAGAGCCAATTTTATATCAATTATAAATTTCAATTCCAAATTGCATGATATATGAATTGCTAAATGGAATACAATTTAACATATTTCAATAAAATGCTGACAAATTTCACGAAATTGATTGAAAATCATAACAAAGGGTTACTTTTTAATAAATTTGAAGGTTACTTTGTTGGATGCATAGATTGGTGACACATGTGTATTCTTTCGTTGTCCTAACTGTACATGAGCAAACTCATTGACTAGAAGATTTTAATTACTCATAGAGATTTCATAATAACTGAAAGATGCTACATTAATTAAGCAAATAGTTTTACCTTTCATGCATCACTGCTAGTTCATTTTATATTTCAGATCATTCTAATGAGTGCAACATTAAATGCAGAAGCTTTTTCGAAATATTATAATAACTGCCCTCACATCAATATTCCTGGATTCACATATCCTGTGGCAGAATACTTTTTAGAAGATGTCTTGCAAAAAACTAAAAGCAAATTATTCCAACAGTTTGAACCTTGTAAGTTCTTTTCCGCATAAAACATACTACAAACGATTTCACCCTCATTTTTTCGTGATTGATATAATCCCATCCAAAAAAGCACTTTTCCCAAACACCAGAACTGCAATACTCTTCTCGACTCGTGTTTCCTCTACCAAGTTGGCGCTTTCAAAAGATGAATAAAACTGTGTTCTGGTGTTTGGGAAAGGTACGTTTTTTGGATATATTCTATTACAGAGGTTCCAGTTTTCCTTTTTGATATTTGAGATTTTTCAATAATACATTGTTGCAGCTACATCGAGGTGGGATTACAAAAAGCGTGTGCAAAAAAATAGGGGTCCGCTAAGTGTAGAAGAGCAAGAATTCAAAGAATATATCGTGCCGTATGCCAGAAACCTGGAAAGAGAGAAGAAGTATGATGCACTTGTGTGTGAACAGTTGAAAAATCCAGATAGCGAAATCCTCAATTTGGATTTAGTTTACGAGTTATTAGTCTATATAGTTGAGAAGGTAATTTTAATAATCAAAATATTGTACATTATAAGATCCTAAACTATACCGGGTGACACAGACTCATGGTATAGTGCATGTAAAGTACCTATTTACTGAATTTCATTAGTTTGGGCTTCCATTGTCTGATATTATATAAAATGATTTGAAATCCCTGAAAGAACTAAAAAAGAAGAATTAAAAATGAATAGCTAAAAATAACAATTATATTAAGCAAATAAACCTGAAATGAAATACAATACAAGTAAAAATAGAACAATTGAACAAAAAATAAAAAGTTGATAGATTCCAAGCCAAGTTACTGCACTACGTTTCGATTGTTACTATCCACAATCGTCTTCAGGACTGATTTCTCCGAGAGGTGACTATTTATGGGTCATTCGAGTACTGTCACTCATCTCCGATTTCCTTTTTCCGCTTCACTGGTTTAGTGGAAGGTGACCGTTTGGCGGGAGTTGGCCATTTTTCGCTTGATGATGGGTTTCCATATGTTGCGTATCTTTACGCTAGCTTGGCTGAATACGTTATTGGACAACATGTATGCGGCTTCTTTGAATTTCCTCCTGAACCGTTACTCCTCTCTGTGTATGATCTCAGCATGGGACTACTCGATGTTATATTGATGGGCTCAAATGTGCTCTGCTATTCCTGATTTGCTGGTTTCTCCTCGTTGTTTGTGTTTCTTGTTCTCAGCAATACGAAAATTCAATGACCTCTTAGTTTCACCCATATAGGATTTTCCGTACTCACAGGATATTCGCTGAATGCAATTCTTGGAGTCGCAGTCCGCGTTTGGTGGCCTGGTTTTCGTGAGGCTGCTACGGATAGTATTTCAGAATCTACAGTAGGTTCTGACGTTGTTCTTATCCGATTCTTCTTATCCTTTCCAATAATCCTCTGATATAGGGAAGTGCAAGCACTGGTTGTGACGGCTTCTCTCCCTTGCAAGGCTCCTGCTGTCTTTTAGCCAAGGTCTTTTCTACCATCGCTTTGGAGTAGCCATTCCATTGAAGATCATTTTTGATGATGTCTAGTTCCTTCTAAGTCGTAGACACAGGACAGAGATATCAACCTGCCTACGAACCTATGCAACTGTATCTCAAGCGGAAACTCACGCTATTGAATTGTGTGCGGAGAGTTTGGAAGAATCCAACCTCATACACAACTCAATAAAAATTTTCTCGGAGAGTCTAACGGCGTAGGAAGCTCTTGGCTCCTACCGAGCAACGTCTAAATTGGTAGCAAAATACCAAAAACTGACTTTCCTCGATAGGGAGACTTAACAAAGTGTCTCTGGTCTGGATTCCTGGCCATACTGGCCTGGAAGGCAATGAGGCTGCTGCAAGATATTCCATTTCAACACCGATCTAGGTGTTAACTATGACACAAAAATTTCCTTCATGCCACACATTGAAGCCACTCATCTACATCGAAAACCTTATACTATGCTTTCGTCAGATCAAAATTAGAATATGCATCCACAATCTGGAATTCATCTCATCAGTTGTATATAGAGAAAGTTGAATCAGTACTAAGAATGGCAATTCGTTGTGGATTTCCTTCTCCATTGTGAAAGTGATGGAAGGTCTCACGCTGTTGATGTGTTTCAGGAAGGCGTCTAGTTCAGTATTCCCATGGTTCCATATTATGAAGGTGTCTCAACCATACTCGAGGTTTCTTGAGGGCTTCTTCAATGGCTAGAGTTTCAAACCACTCCGGTCTTCGGATAGCTTCCTCTGTATGATTTGGAGTGCTTCTTAGACCGGAACGTTGGTGTAAAGGCTTTCTACGTCGAAACTAATTAGTTGGTCTTCCTGTGTGACTTCAATTGCCCTTAGTAGTTTGACAAAATGCCTTGAATTCTTCACAAAAGACGATGTTTTTCCATGTAATGGTTGTATTATGGAGAGTAAAAATCTAGACAAGTTTTGAGTAGCCGAATCTCTTTAGCTAATGATTGGTCTGAGCGGAACGCCCTTCTTGTGGATTTTGGGTAGTCCATACAAGTCAGGGGGCTTATGTGGTGCGGTGTTAGCGATGATCTCTCCTTGTCCGTTTTTGGTGTTTTTTCTAAATCTGGTACAACTTCCTTTCAATTGATGCAGTAGGGTCCCGTACGATTTTTGTGAGATTCTGAAGAATCTCTTTGATCTTCTGTTCGTAGAGGACAGTATCCATCACCACAGTAGCGTTTCCTTTATCTGCAGGTAGGATCTTGATGGTGTTGTCTCTACGTAGGCCGTTCAGAGCTCTACGTTCTTCATTGCTAATGTTAGATGTTGAAACTGGTTCTCGATACAGCTGTTCTCTGATTTTTCATCTGAATTCTTTTGCCTCGGTCTGGTCAATAAGTGAACTGGTGGATTCCACTGCAGTAATTATCTATCTCCAAAGTGGGCACAGATGTTGGTGCAATGGCGAAATTTTGGCTTTTCCTCGACAAGGATTCCTCTATTCCCGTTAGAAAGCGGGAACTCATGTTAATGACGTTGGCCGTTAATTACTTCCAAATTATGCACAGTTTGTTTCACACCACCCCATCCTAAAACACCATACTTCAATTGTGACTGTACCAGAGAAAAATATAACATCTGATGATGTTTAACTATGAAGGTTTCTGTATTTGTAATGTAATGTACTCTTCAATAGAGTGGACTGTATAATCTGAGCTGATTTAATTGAGAGTTTTGATTGAATAAAACGAATGCATAACTAAACTACACTCGACATTTAAATTAATTTTNCAACTGTTGACTACGAACTGCCTTATAAAGTACTGTTCCTGAGTAGAGAGGACTGGATCCTCAGGGAGAAGGAAATATTTAGAGCAGATACTTGTTGGTTCACAGATGGATCAATAACACCTTCCGGTTCTGGTGCAAGTTTTTCCAGTCGTAGACACAGGACAGAGATATCAACCTGCCTACGAACCTATGCAACTGTATCTCAAGCGGAAACTCACGCTATTGAATTGTGTGCGGAGAGATAGAAAGAATCCAACATCATACACAACACAATAAAAATATTCTCGGACAGCCAAGCGGCGTTGGAAGCTCTTGGCTCCTACCGAGCAACCTCTAAATTGGTAGCAAAATACCAAAAACGACTCTCCTCGATAGGAAGATTTAACAAATTGTCTCTGGTCTGGATTCCTGGCCCTACTGGCCTGGAAGGCAATGAGGCTACTGCTGCAAGCAGCTTCATTGGACCAGAACCTGTCATGGGCTTTGTCAAACAAAGATTGAACACCTGGATGGCAAGAAGATTTATGGATTTATTTATTTTTATGGATTTATTCGAAGCTCGATACCAAACAGTTGTTGAATCATCATATGCAGAGACTCGGGCTGTCAGAAGACAGTGTGTGTCGTCTCTGTTTGGAAAATAATGATACAGCAGAGCACATACTTTGTGCTTGCCCCGCGAGGGACCGAATCAGACTTTTAGAGTTCTACAGAGCCGTACTCTTACCATCTGAACTGAAAGACCATTCACTCACCATACAAACTAATCGGCTTCTTTAAGGTTTATTTGGTCGAGGGCGAATATGTATGAACCACAATAAACCCTTGCGGGTTGCGGTGGAGGGTCGAATAGATCCACTCATTTTGGACCTAACCTAACCTATATTTGATGGCTTCGAGTCTGTGGAATATGCAGCTACCTCGGGTGTTTCACAAAGAAGCAACCTAGGTCCAATTATCTTTATTGCCTTCAGAAACGACATAGTTGAGGTCATCGACATCAACTGTTTGATATACGCAGATGACCTGAAATTATATTGTGAAATCAATGGCATCGAGGACTGTCTTCAACTCTCCCTCAATCTGGAACGTGTTGAGCAACAGTGTTTTTACAACTATATTTCTTTAAATGCTAGTAAATGTAATGTAATGACGTGCACACTAAAACATTGTCCATTTTCATATCAATATTTAATAAACGATATTCCACTTCAACGGCCTTTCACATTCACCGATCTAGGTGTTAACTTCGACACAAAAATTTCCTTTCCTTCCTTCATTGATGCCACTCATCTACATCGAAAACCTTATACTATGCTTTCGTCAGATCAAAATTAGAATATGCATCCACAATCTGGAATTCATCTCATCAGTTGTATATAGAGAAAGTTAAATCAGTACAACGTCGTTTCCTAAAACTTCTCTCCTATAGATCAGACAACATCTATCCACCAATTGAATTTCCCCATGATGCATTGTTAGCTAGACATGCTATGAATAGCTTGAGTTGCCATCGTGATTGTCATTCCACAATTTTTCTTTTTAAACTGATTAATAATTTAATTATTGACCCACATACTCTGCAAAAACTCAATTTCAATGTACCTAGACCAACCTCTACAGTGGATAATCCTGTTTATCTACTAACTGTTAAGAATCTACATAGAAATCTGTATCGTTACGCTAAAATGAAATGCTGTTTGAGCCTTAGTTTGGTCCATTTTAAATAGATGGCGATACAAATCAGATTTCTAAGTTTTCTACATTAACGATATATATTCATGGATCATGTGTGAGATGCATAAAAATGTCCTTGAGTTGAATATAAAACTTTGTTACTACTCTGTTAAACAACGTGGAAGTCGTAAATAAAAGCTGTTTTGTAAAAAGGAAAGAGTATTGTTTTTATCAATAATACAATACTAACACGACGTACAAATATTCTGAAACGTTCACCTCTGCTTAACGTGTGTCAAATGCAATTCTGCAAGTTGTCAGCTCGACATTTTCTACTGTTCCATCTCTGAGATTAGGTCTTTTTACTTCCGCTAGTTCTATATGTATTCGTTTTACCTTATAACTTATTGAAATTGTATTGTATTGTAATTTGACTTATATCCCTGTTCTGTAGTTGGGTGTAACCTGTAGAACAGTGCTATTTAAATAAATAAGTCTTATGGCTTGATGTAATTAATGACTGTTAATAAGTCTGAAATCAGAATAAGTCTATTTACAAAAAAAAATTATTTTGTTGTGCCAATCTGGCAAACAGCTCCTAACCGAGTATTTATAACAATGGATATTTAGCATCCTCACGCTTTTTTACAACAAAGTATTTTTTTTGGAAATGGATTTATTCTGATTTCAGATTAAAAGTCATTTGTTACATAAAACCATAGGACTCATTATCTATGTTGAACACAATCTTAAATTAGTTTCGAATTATTTTTAATTTTTTAGTTTGTGTTGCTATTAAAGCGTGTTTTTTTTAGGTTTTTTGAACTATTACTTTTTGTGTTGCTATTAAAGTGTGTTTTTATTAAGTTTTTCAAACTATTACTTTTTGACTTAATGTTGGTAAACTTTAAAATAAATTTTTATCCAATATTGTAGGAAGAGAAACACGGATCGGTACTGATTTTCTGTCCCGGATTATCGCAAATATCGGGCCTCATAAAGAAAATTGAAAACTCTTCAAAGTTTCCACCTTCCCGATACATCATATTTCCGTTGCACTCGCAGATGCCATCTATAGACCAGAAAGAAATTTTCAATCCAGCTCCGCAAGGCAAGAGAAAAATAATTGTGTCAACTAACATCGCAGAGACATCCATTACAATAGGTTTGTGTTGGTTTTCTCTTGGAAAAATGTGTTTTTTCATTGTTTTTTTCATCAATTTCCAGACGATGTCGTGTACGTCATTGACTGTGGCAAAATCAAGACTGCTGATTTCGACATAGAACTGAAAACGGAAACTTTGAAAATAAGATGGGTGAGCGTTGCTAATGCAGATCAGAGAAGAGGGCGTGCCGGAAGGGTACAGCCTGGAGTGTGTTTTCATCTGTATAGCAGGGCACGGCATATGATTTTGGAAAAGTACCTGAAGCCTGAAATTCTTTGTAAAAGGCTCGAAGGGACTATTTTAACAGCTAAAATCTTACAACTTGGTGAGTGGAAAAAACAGTTCATCACTGCCGGAGCTGTTTTACTGTATTAATTCCTTTATTTAGCATAAGCTAATATACAATATGTTTGATCCTAACTATCATTAGGCTAATGTCTAAATATTCAAACAATGAATTACAAATATATACATATATATGACTGGTTACAATCACAAATAATAAACTTCNAATCAAACAACAGAATGGGGGAAAGTTGTAAAATCATTGAAGAAAATAAGAACAATAAGGTGAACCCTTCTATAAGTGTAAAAAACGACAATGGTGAACTGATAACAGATCCACCAGAAAAAAGCAATTATATCAATGATTATTTTATATACTCCTTTCAAAATTGTCCTAAACCAAACCTTGATCAACATTTCGATAAATTTCATAAAAGTTTTTTCTTAACTCCTGTAACACCTGAAGAAGTTCAGGAAATCATCTCAAAAACAACATCTATACATAAAATCGTGACAGGTGACAAATCATGGATATATGCGTATGAGACGGAAACAAAACAGCAATAGACCGTGTGGGTATTCCAAGACGAGCTAAATCCAACAAGAGTTGTTCGTGGAAGAAGCACAGCGAAGCAAATGGTCGCCTGCTTTTTCGGCCGAATGGATTATGGGGTCACTGTTCCGATTGAGCAACGTAGAACAATCAATTCTGAGTGATACACGACTTGTTTGCATGAAGTCTTTGGAGAAATTCGTAAAATTAATCGCCAAAGATGAATCATTCTCCATCATAACAATGCGAGCTCCCACACAACTCGTCAAACAGGTGAACTTTTGAGCAGTCCAAAACATTGAATTGATAACTCATCCTCTGTACAATCCTGCTTTGGCACCCAATGAATTCTTCTTGTTCCCAAACATCAAAGGTAAACTGCGTGGTCAACGATTTACGATCGCCAAAGAAGAAGTTGAAGCATTTAATAACCTGGTTTTGTCCTATTCTGCAATAATCAACATGGTTTTAAGAAGAGTAAATCTCACGTTAAAAGGTAAGACCTCGTTAGTCCTTAGCTCGCACAAGTTTCTCAACTTCTGAGAGTTGTCGTTCGTATGGGGGCGGCAGCTGATTAACGGAAAAACAGATTTTTAAACAGAATTGAATCTGCATCTTACCAACTATTTATATTTATGCACAAGTGGATAATAATAACCTGGTTTTTTCTTTTTTTTTTTTAGACCTATCAAAAGCATTAGATACTGTTTCTTCCAAATTTCTATTGAAAAACTTACTAGTAATAGGCTTTCCCAATGATGTGTTGTGTTGGATAGAATCGTACATGGAAAACCGTAGTTTGGTCCTTTATGATGTGAAACTAGGTGTTCCACAATGATCTGTTCTGGGTCCATTGTTATACTTGACTTTCATCAATGACTTGCCTGAATTCACATCAAATTGTCACATAACTATGTACGCTGACAATACTACAATCACTGTTTCTGGAAAAAACGAGAATGAATTATCAATGAAAATTAGTTATTGACGAATTCAGTAGTTGGTGTCAACGTAACAAACTGATTTTAAATAAATCTAAGTCAGTGCTGATGAAATCATTCGTTATGAGGGATTTCTGTTGTAATTTAGTGATTTTGAATGACAAAAATATCAAAAGAAGTTAATTTTCTTAGAACTATTTTAGATGAGAATCTCACCTGGAGAAGTCACATACAAAAAGTGTGCAGTAAACTCAATTCAGCTTATTATTCAATCAAACAGTTAAAACATCGTTTAGATAGGTTTGGTTTACTAAATGTTTACTTTGCGAATGCATACTCCCACATCAGTTTCAACATAATGGCTTGGGGATGTGTGAAGGAATTTTCTAGAGTAGATGTGCCTTCGATGTTTTACTGAAAAGAAAGTCACCTGTCCAGATTGCAGTTAAAAAGAAAGCCAGTTAGCAGAGTTTATGGGATCATCTAGATATTATTTCAAAGTGTAACGAAATCAAAATTAAATTTTGGTGTGGATTGGGTTTTTTCTTTTTAATGGCAGTGATGAATCATTGATCAAAGAGTTTAAACTCCCACGGACGGAGATAACTATGTCAAAGCTATTTTGCAGTTTTTTTGGTCATCATCTGCAGGTTTTATGCCCGTTTCGTCTACCGCTGCGGTATACATTATCAAAGGCCATGAGGTAACGGTTGAAGTGTTCGAATTGTTCTCAATTTGGAAAGACATGGAGCTACAAAAACACAGAACATTGAAACGGACAAAACTTTTGAAACGACATAAATTGAACCAAGTTTAAAACTTTTCTATAATTTTTGATAGTTTGCATAATCACTGTGTTCGCTGTATATTAGAATCTTACTGGTTTGGAAGTCAGAAGTAACACATGGTATCTTTCCTTTGACAGGTAAAATCGAAGAATTTTTTTCCAAATTGATGGTCAGCCCAGATGCGGAATCATTGAGTATTGCGCTAGCCCTCCTCAAACGTTTAAATGCTTTGGACAGTGTTGAAAATTTAACCCCGCTTGGTTACCATTTAGCCAGGTTGCCCGTTGCTCCACAAATGGGAAAAATGATATTGTTGGGAGCCATATTCAGTTGCTTGGATCCTATACTATCGGTTGCTGTGTCTTTGGATTTCAAGGACGCATTTCAAATTCCACTCGGAAAAGAGCAAGAGGCTGACAAGAAAAGGTCTGAACTTGCAGATGACACCATGAGCGATCATATTGTTTTACATAAGGTGAGATCCAATGTTAATTTTTTTAAAAGAATAGTCAAATAACAAATCATTGAATCTAAATTATGACATTTGAAGAAATAATGAACATTATGCTTCCATATATGAGTACACCTTTATATACAGAATAATTTTGAAAGCTTTCTCTAGAAGATGTATTTATTTAAATAGTCGTAGAAACTTTTTGGATATGTTTTCTTTCCAAGATCTTTTGAAAACTTTTCAGAACGAACACATTTTTTTAGGGAAACTCTCTTACAATTTCATTCAATTATATCCCAATAATCGACATATGGCACCAGTCCATGGATAATCATGAAATTGGACATAGAGTTATATTTTAGAATAACTGTTATTAACTATATATGTTGACATTTTTCATACTCTTCTACCAAGCATGTGTAACGTTTTTACTGATGATGCTTATGAATTCTTGTCAGAACCACTGTACTTATGAGAAGCTTATGACTACAATATTAACCAGAGCTGAAGCATGGTTCATTTCTAATGAACTGAAGATGAATATCGAGAAAACACAAATTATCACAGATTCTGTAAGCCACTTCTCATTAAATATGAAATTTATGATTTTTTCAAGGGCGATGACATCTTCCCTCGCAAATACGCCATTATATGGGATCGACAGTGTTATATTTTTGATTTTCTTTATTCACTTCAAGAGCTAATGATTCAACAACATACTTTTGTAACTAACTACAAACATTACAGTTCCTATTCCTAATACTTATAACTTTTGTAACTAACTACAAACATGACAGTTCCTATTCCTAATACTTATATCTAATCTAGTTGTCATCAAAAGTATGGTAATATAATGTATAACTCAATCCTTGAATATCTAAGATAAACGAGGCTCCCCAAGGCGGTCAGTTGCAAGGTCAAGCTCCAACATTGACCGCAAACGAGGTTCGCCCTCTGTCTTTCAATGCAGGTTCCACTGAAAAGCAACCAGAGCCCAAACACAACCCATTTGTGATCCATAGGTCTCATCAGTGGTGCTAGGCTGAACCTCAGCTTGGCTTTGCAACTGACCGCTTTGAGGACTCATTTATCTTTGAAAATCAAGAATTGAGTTATCTATCAATCCCATAGATGGAGTCATCGCCCATACATACTCAGGTTTGTCTTTTAAGAACAACTGATTCCAGCAATGCATTTGTGGTCCAGCCTAGCACCACTGATGGGACCTATGGTGAGTCAAAACAGCGCTGTCTAGTGTTGGATCACAAGTTCATCTAGATGATTTTCATTTTTTCTGTATACATACATTCAAAATGTATCAACTATTGTTTGTTGAGATAACCCGGTATCAGACTCACTTTATTAAAATGAATAAAAACACTTTTGTCTAATTACCACTGGTAGATTTTATTTATACGACCGGTTTCGGGTTTGACCCCATTATCAAGTAT